AATTGCAGATGTTTTCCCACTCCACAAGATTGTTCATCTGTGGGACACGCTGCTGCTGGGAAACTCTTCCTTCCCTCTCTGCATTGGAGTTGCCATTTTAAAGCAGCTCAAGGACCGTCTACTTACATTTGGTTTCAATGAGTGCATCTTGCTGTTCTCAGATATGCCAGGTGATTGTTTATGTAACAGATACACCATGAGTCAGCGAGGCATGTAATATATACTAGTGACAAATGTAAGGGTTTGTCATAAATATTATGCATGTAGTGGGGTATCCGATTTTTACCATGGCAGATGTAGTTGACAAAAGACCCAGCTGTGATGTAGGCCAAATTCATTGTGTGGATTTTTAAACTATTAGCTGCAGTATAAGTGATTCTGTTTCATTGAGTAACCTAAAAGAGTCAATGACCACTGATGTCCTCTGATGCAAAATAAGCAATTAATTTAATTTTTTAAAAAATATCCAAGCTCAGGGCAAATTATTATCCTACAGAAATATTAATAACAAATACTGAGTATGTATTTAACCATAGCAATAATGTCACTGTTGCTGATGTATTTTCCAGAAATCGCCATAGATACCTGTGTTCAAGAATCCATCAAAATATTTTGCATGACCCCAAAGAGTTCTCTGTATCGCCAGCATGCAAAACAGCCAGCCAAACCTGAGCCAGTAATGAGCAGGCCAAACATTTCTTACTATTCAACAGACTACCATGACCAACCACAGAATGAATTGGTAAGTAGTTATTTATATCTATCTGAAATATAGATTTATATCTTACCCATCCCTAGACACAATATATAGGTAAAGGATACTTGCCAATAAAGGCCTTTTCATTTATGCTAATTCTTAATGAAATTTTATGCTTTGAAATGAACTAATTGCCATTAGTAATCCAAATGATTGATAAGAGTATTTAGGTATATCATGATCAAGATTTTATGGTTCTCAGTTACACATAGTTGGCAGATACTGAAACTGAAATTGGTGTAATTATGAGCAATTTGTCATTAGTCTTTGGATCCCATACCACTTGAAGAGCTGAAGTCTGAGAGGTGCCCAAGGATATCTGCAGAAGACCTCATAGAACTAGGAGAATTAAAGGGCCCTGCACAAACCAAGAGCCCAACAAAAAGATCCAGAGAGGGCAAGCCCAAGTTGTTAATGATTGATGTCAGGAGTGAAGAGGAGTATCCTTTTATTATCAAGTTTAATGTTAATTTTTCAATTTTTTATCAAAATAATTTTTGCTTTACCAGATTCATTGTATTGCTTGAAAGGATTAAAATGTAGAATAATGACAAAATTTTGACGGACATGCACAATAATAAAAAGGCATCCAGTTCTTACTATTTACATAGGAAAATATTAGCAATCAGAATTTCGATTGTCCTTAATCAAAACAGTTATTTGAGAGGTGCTGTTGGTGGGAGTATTAATATACCACATTCAACTGCCTTTAGTGCAGATGGCAGTTTAGTTCCATGTTCAGCACTCAACAAACTGAATTCTTGTCGTAATCTAGTCAAAGTGATTATAGGGAACAAAGGAAGAACTGCTTCGAATGTAAGTTTTTTTCATCAATTTTTACTTTTTAGATTTTGAAAATGTACTCTGCATGATATACGCTATTTGAATTTCTTTAAAGTTAGAAATGTCTTGAGATAATTATTTTAAAAAATATTAAATTCTTTTCCTTCAAACAAGTATAAAACATATATATATGGAAGTGGGTTTGATGGTTGACTTTTTTAATGCAGTTTGCTGGAGACTTGGTGAGGTTGGGCTACTCCAAAGTTTGTGTCTTGTACAAAGGCATAGATGTGCTGAGGCCGACAGGATTGCTTGTTGTTCCGTCAACAGATCTCCGATAAAAGAAGGAATCAGGCAGTTTGTTTTCAATCATCAGGTGCAATATGACTTTTACAAGTAATCAAAAGGGACTTAAGAAAGTTTTTTTCCTAGTCTATACATGAAACAAGTGAGCACTGATAAGTTTTTTTTAATTGACAAGACCCAAGTGCTTTTTAATTGACTCTTGTAATTTTCCCTTTTCTGTCACTTGTTTACAATTTCACACTCAATGGACCTTTTACAATGTTTTCCAACAAAGGTCACAAGCATATGGATAAAAAAGGTTAGTGTAAATGTGAAAAATTCATCCAAGTTTAAGTACATTCTACTTTTAGTTCTGGTGCAGGAACTCTAGGTTTCTACACAGTATGTATACAGTATACAGTATACATTATATTGGACAAAGACGATTGAGACAATCATGTCATTAATATTTATTATTCATATATTTTATGATACTTATTACAATCTGCAGAACAATTAATTGCATCAACGTTCTTTTGTAGCAAGCAATAAAGAATATATGAAAATAAATGCTAATGATAATCTTGAAGAATTTTTGTAATGACACCCAATTACATGTTTGTGGTGTGTGTTACTCTGTATGAATATAAATTCAGTGAGATGTAAACAAGTTAACATTGTTAAGTACATGTCATTGCATCTTAAATTGTCCCCCCTGTTCATCCTTGTCTTCATTGTATCCAGTTGGGTGAAGGTACTTATTCAAGTTATTTACAACATTACTCATTTCCACACCAGTATTTTATAATATATTCATGCAAAAAAAAAAAAAAAAAAAAAAAATCATTTTTAAAAATTATTTTCATTGTCCCTCCACCCCAATGTTGAACACTAATATATACAAATATAGTCATCTTCTGTCAACATTTACTAATCTTTATTTCTTCATCATGAACTTTGAGTCTGATAACATGAACAATGCAATGCTAACAAAACAGTGATAATCAACAAATTATAATGGAAAAGATTAACACAACATAAAAAAAAAACAATATGGAAATATGCAACAAACATTCAACTCACAAACAACAAACAAAAAAGTTTCACAAGATACTGTCCAATTATCACAACAGGAAAAAAGTCCATACTAATAATCATTAATTTGGGCAAATAAAATGAAAACAAATGTTTCACTTTTCACCAACTTAACAGCAGTTTCAAATAACATTGTAAAAGCAGCTCAAACAAATAAAACAAAACACACTGGTGATACACCAAATATGAACCTTACACATAACATCCTGTCATATTTATCAAAGATGCTCTATTACAAACCACTGATTATGTGTTAAAATGTATGTAAGATGTATGTAGGAATACTGCCTAAAAAGCTAATTAATTTCACTATGAATAAACATTTCTCACATCTAGATAATATTAACTGGGACCAACCAAACAATCTTGTTTGTTGGGTCCAAGATATAAACCGTCTTCCTCTGGTGCCATTTTATATTTCGCCAAGCATAAAACTCCTCATAACTTCAGGCCCTGCAGAGTCAAACCCTGCCATATCCAGCATTCCTGGATCCTCTGGGTCAGCAATCGTGAAGCCATTACTTGTCATGGCGCAGACAATCAGCTTGGCATCCCAGATACCACTGGCTTCCCGATACTGCCGTAAAGCTTCCGCAGGATGAACACCCCCTATCCATGTCTCGCAGTCTGTGTACACAATAAATGTGTCATACTCCCTCTTGTTTTCCCTGGCCCACAGCATGGGTAGAGCACAATCGGTCCTTCCAAAAGGTATGCCTCTTAACAATTGCAACGTTTCATTTAATTTCCATTCTAAATTGACATTCAGTGGAACTAATTTGTCGGAGAAGGCAACCACATCACACTTGGGCTCTGTATGCAGGGTGGTCATCATCAAAGCTCCTGATGCTAGCCTGGGGCTTAGAGCACTAGAACCCAATACAGAATAATGATCCATCGATCCACTGACATCCATACCAATGCACACACGCTTGTTGGTAGGCTCGACGTACTTGAAACATTTGTAGAAAGCCTGATCTAAGGCATTTACAATGTGCTGGTTTGGGTTCCATTTCAATTTCCCTTTCTCTCCTTCCCCCTTGCTGTATGTGTGCAAGGCTAAAAGGACATTGAAGGGATGGATACGTGCCTCTCGGAGGGCCTCTTCACTTTGAAGCCGACTTATTATTATCTGTTCTTCCTCGCTCTCAGACTCTAGAATCCCGACATCAGTCATCTTTGCCAGGTTGCGGATCATTGCTGTCATAGGCATGCTTTTAAGTAAAGCTTTCCACACCCCCTTGGAGTTCAGCAGTTTGGTAGGGATATGCTCTCTTACCAAACCATGGTGCTGAATCAAGGCAATAATCTCTTCTTCATTTGTAGCCTTCTTCGCATCCTCGACACCTTCCAGAAAAGTGAGGGTATCTCTTACTGCCTCAGACATTTCAGTGGAATATGTTTCTTTAGCAGCCTCCAAACCTTTCACAACATATTTCACCACTGCTGCTACATCGCCCTCTGGTTTCAGATGTGTGAGACGAAAGAGGTCTCTATGAGCCCACCCACTACGATTCCTGTACTTGGTAACGTGCATGGCCAATTTCTTTGGGTTTTTGCTATGTTTGTTGTACCACTTGGCAACAGCACGTCGATGTGCACGACCCCAGCCCGTGCCTTTTGAAAGATTCTTGGCCAACTTCTCACTATAGTCAATAAAAGTGAACAAATGGGTTGGAATGCGACAAATATCAGACAAAGCCTCATAGGCTGCCTTCTTGGAGAACTTGTTGTCCAACCTGGCACACAAAGCAAGGGCAAAGAGAATTGCATTCTGCTTAGATGCTCTCCCTTCAACACTAATATGCTTTATTTCGTTCACCACTTGCTGACCCTTGTCTTCCTGAATCAGTCTCATGATTGCTGTTGCATTTTCTATGCCCAGTTCTTGTTCCTTAATGTAGTAAGTTCCACCCTCGGAGCCTAGGATAAGAAATCGGCGCAAGCGGTTCATGTCATCAACCTTATAGACGTAACCACCTTCACTGTTTTTCGTCTGTACCTTGTCAATGGGTTTCGACTGGGGGATGTCATTCTTCGCTGGTTTGGGTGCTTTGAACACGGAACCTATGGCGCTGGCTAGCGAACCGTATCCAGACATCTTCTTGTTATAAATTCTGAAATTTGTAAATTACAAACGTGCGTGAATGCTTAGCCAGCAAACTGTGTGCAGACTAAATAGAGTAAGCTGCTTACTTGGCACTTCTGTAGGAGGTTAAAAATGCTGACTCAGCAAAATTTTCATGCATTACAATTAGATAAGGTTGGAATTTCCGTACTTTCCAAACATAGATTTTTTGGGCTTTTTTAGTACTAACATCTCTTTTAATGTGTTTATAACGATACCTTGTTATCGATATGGTCTATCAAATTCCGGCAAAATAGGTTGGAGAGTAGGAGATCCGTGTGAGGTAACACATCATCAAAACTTAATTTCTTATCGACTCCATGTTTCTGTTTACCCAGTACTTAACGCATGCGTACTATGCGTAGAACTGAATTAGGTCAAGGTTAAATTTAATGCAAAACCCAATCACGGTAAAGACCTGACCGCTGAACATGGCTGACAAACGGACGAGGGACGGGACAGATTGTGAAAGTCCTTTAAACATCAACGCATCAAAGACTCAAAATAAATTTTCAAATGACGGGAGTTTCCTGGAAATGTTCAAGAAGAAAATGGAAGAGGAGAGAAAGAAGACAGAGGATTCGACGCAGCACAGCTCGTCGTCAACTCACGATCAAAATTCTCATTCTGTGACTGTTGGACTTAACGATAAAAAAGATGATGCAGCAGTTCCCAAACCCAAGAAAACTTTACCCTTTGTAAGGGAATCTTGCATCTGTTGTATTTGACATCAATTAGTGTGTTTAAGCGTTAGTTTGTAGGACTTAAATACCGCACCGAACCTTGGCTTACAACTTCTTTGTATATGAACGTGTTTGGGTATCGTTGCTTTTATTTTAGCACGAAAATTCATGCGTTAGCACTCCTATTGACGATTCTGATATGTACTGTCTGTGCTAAGACAGTACATGTCAGAATCGTCAATAGGAGTGGTAACGCATGAATTTTCGTGCTACTTTTATTTAAGATAGATATAATTCCAGTTTGTGTGTATTACAGTTTACTGCTAGGTGACAAAACTTGTATTTATCATTTGGGGGTACGAGCTATGAAATATAATGCATTGAAAAGGCAACAAATGTATGTGCATTTTGGTGGTAATTTTGCAACTTAACAGTCAAAATGTAAAAGTTTCAGTTTGCTGCATACAGGTATTATTTTTAATTTAGTACAAACAGTTGTCATAATATACACAGTTGTGCACAGTTTTACATTAAAATATTGAACAACACAGGCATGAGCACACTTTTAATTCAGCTAAGGGTGGTGAATGAGATGAGAAATACTGGGTTCAAAAGACAAAGAGGAAGCACAGATTTAATGTGTTAGTCCTTTGTTTCCCAGGTTGGAAAAAGAAGAGGGGCTGCTCCTGTTTTAAAGACAGGAGTTGTGAAAAAGAAAAAGTCAGAAGATAAGGTAAGTTTGAATAAATATTCTCAAGTTTCAGTAGGGGTTTACATAGAACAAAAATTGATTTAAACAGTTATTTTAATGAAAATTGGTGTTTGCTACAAATATAATTAGAATTCCGTAATGCAATGTTAAAAATACTTGTAAAATGTTTTTCATTTCCAGGCTGAGAAGGGTGAAGTGAAGAAAAATGCTTGGGCACAGTACATGGATGAAGTACAAAAATACAAATCACAAGCATGTCAAGATGAAGATAAAACTCGGCCATTAGTGAAGTAGCACATTATTTATATTTTGGAGAACTTTGTGCAATAATACAATTCAACAAGAACGCTGTTGAAATTAGGAAATAAAAGGATGGAAAGGAAAACTTTTCAGTTGATCTATTCTGATGTGGTAAAAAATAGCCCTTGCGATTTTTTTTATCATTTTTCCATTTTTGAAAGAACAGCACAGAGTAGATTGCAAGATCATGAGCCTAATATTGATATAGGGTTTGTTTTTTTCTTTGAAAGTACATTGTGGGTTTTTAAGTATTTATGTCATAAAACCTGATGCACCTGCATTGTTTACTTTCCTTGAAAGGTCAGGAAAATATCAATTTTCCTTGGAAGACCAAGAAAATATTAGAATGCTCTTCCTGTGTGGTGACACAATATGAATTTTACTGTTTTTTTTTCTACAAGCAAAGTTTTTGCTCTCCTGAGTTTGGTAATTAGTCTTTCACATTTTCCAACAGGCAAACTTGTACCCTTACAATTCACCTTTCCACAGATAATGATGTGCATGCACCAACTGTGTTTAGTATTAAGTGTTGCATTCTGGTCTAGATATATGCGCTGCTATTTCTGGTCAAGCATTCGTGGCTTTTGGCGCCAATGGAAGTATGCACACATGACCAGTGGAAATGGGTGAACCACACATGCAGGTAATATCTCTGGAAAGGTAAATGGACTAATGAATTGTACCATTCCATTTATATTTGTAAATGTTGAACTTGTTGTTAGGAATGCTTAGATTAGCAGTATCATTTTAGGTCAGTTAAAACGGGGTTTGCAGTACCTTTCATGTCAAGATGTATTCTATGTTAAGTTTAACATGGTGGCTCCGATTAATAATTTCAAATTTCTGAACTAATTGAATGTTCACTCAAAGTATAGAATCTTTGGTTAGTGTCCATGCAAACAAGAAGTCATAATGCTAGTTTTGTAAAACAGCCTTAAATCATAAAATTTTAGCCCATTTCTCATGCATTTAAGTTTGTTTAGAGAAGCATATATTGCTCCAGTTAAATTTAATGAGCTGGGATAGGTGAAAAAACAAAGATACAAAATTCATGAAGTTTGAAAATATTTTTATTGATCTTATTTAAGTAGCAGCCTTACAATTTTTGTTAAATCTTATTTTAACCCTTACCTTTTTTAGAAATAAAATATTGTACTAATTTCAATTCTTGTTTGTTACACTTGTTCATTGTTCTTGAGCTCTTCAATTTCTTACAGTGATACTGGTACAGCACTTGAGCCCCCAAGAATATTCTTAATACTTTAATTTTTGTTTATCATCATTTATTCTTCAATGAACAATCAATGTTTCCACAAAAACTAACAAGAAACAACAAATAAATTGCAAAATATTCTTGCAAACTTTTTGATAGTTATCATCACATGGCGCTATTGGCATTAAGTGGCTTATGGCAACCTAATAGTCACTGAAATATGACCTTAAAAAAAAAAAAAAAAAAAAAAACTGCCTCAGAATGTTTTATGTTGTAGTGGACGTAATGCTACAGTGAAAATAATTTACCTTGACTTTTACAAGTTTGTTGTCTGGAGAATCTTGTGACATACATGATTGCTAGTCCACTAAAGAAGAAAATATCATGATCACAGGTTTGTATTCATGCCAAACGCCCACATTATTACACCCTCTAGTGAAATTTACCATTTCCATGACGTGTATATGGTTTTACATAGGAACCGTGAACTTTGCTATTAATACAACAAATTTGACTCCTTTATCAATGTGCCCAACAATGTCTCTAGTTTGTGCAAACATTGTTGGCTGAGAGTTGTTCTTGGAAATAAAAAGGTGTGTGAAACTTCCTCTCCGTGTAAGTGTGTTTAAGTTATAAGCAATGGGACTCAACACAACCTTCACCATGTAGTGTTTTAAAGCTAGGTTATTCCAAACAACCCCTTTCTTTTATATTGCACCATGGCTCTCTTTCACAATTAGTGATGGGAAACATATTCTAGCTTTTCTCTTCCTTAGTCAGAACAGTTTTTATTTCCTCTGTAACATTAGACAACAGCGTGGAGTCTGTGCTCTTGCCATCTATGCTAATCCCTTTATTTGCCTAGAAAATGTCAAAAAATAATGGTCTAAATAGTTAATATCTTAAACTGTGAACATTAAATAAAAACATATTCCATGAGCCATTGGCTTGCGACAACAGTTTGGAGGAAACCTGTTAAGATTACAGTAGCTTCAGAAACATGAAATTGAGAGCAGGTTTTCTGCAACTCGTGATAGAGCATGACCTATATTTAAAGAAAACTCTTCAAAGATATTTACAAAAAAAAAAAAAAAAAAAATATATATATATATATATATATATATATATATATATATATATATATATATATATAAGTGCACTTACCAACTGCTTTACAAGAAGGCATATATCGTGTCCCTGAATTGATTTACTAAACAGTGATGCAGTGTTGTCTACTTGCTCAACAACTGAAAATTAAATAACATCACATTAAAAAAACAGGTATCTTATATGGCAGATTATACACCCATTAAAATGATGACCACATTAGTTCTCCACATTCAGGTGTTAACTTCATCTATTTTCAAGGCACTAATTTGAAGTGTCTGCCAGAGCAAATTTTTGCCATAATTAAAAATTATCTTAAAAATTGTGTATTGAAGCAATTGTCTGCTAGAATAATGGAAAATTCCCTTTTTAAAGCACTTACTTGAAAAGTGTGTATAGAAGCAAATTTTTGCCAAAATAATGGAAAATTCACTATCACTTGTGTTGAAAGTAACTGAGCTTTTTTCATTTAAGTTTCCACTACCCAACATTTCTGCAAAAGCATCCCTGGAAAAATTGAAGTCATATTACACTTTGAAATGAAAAATACAAATCAAACATCCCGTCTTGCAGAAATATTTTTTATTAATCATTATGGAAGTAGTAGATGTGTACAAAATGAGCATTAGACCTCTGTTTAGCAAAACTTCAATATTCCTCAAAATTTTAACACCTTTTCCATAATCATCAAGGTATACCATATCTAAAATCATTCACAAAATTAAAATGAAAACAGTGTTTTTAAAGTTCTCACTTCCTAGTTTTTTGAGTCACTTCCAAAATGAAGATGAAGAACACAGGTTAATTCCATTTGTGGTGATAAAAATAACAATTTCAGAATAAGAAAAAAATTACTGAAAATTTCATGAATTTTCTTTTTTTTTTGCTATGTAAGGTCTACTGAACTTAGCATCCCTAAAAAAGAATCTCCTTTTAAAGAAGCTTACCCTTTGCAAGATACAGGAACCAGGTATGATGAGCAAGGCAAATGAAGTTTGAAGTCCAATTTATCATGAGTTGCACCATCATCATTCTGAAAAACGTTGAAATAAAAAGACACCTCAACAATCAAACGCTTCTTTTTCAGTGCAGCACTTTGTTTTCCCCATATGCGTGTGCCTGCTACTGCATCCCCTCTTTTCTAAACAAACAAATATATCATATTCCTTACAATAACCTCTTAACTCAATAATGATAACAAGGCAGCAAAGCTGTCAAATGTACAGACAANTGCAGCAAAAATACCTTGACAATGTATGTTAATGTTCCTCTTAATCTTTGAGGCATGTTGATTTGCTCTACAGTGAAAGCAAATTGCCCTTCATTTTGTGCATTGGGTAGCAGTACAAATGGAACTTTAACTGCATCATGTTGGGAAGCACCATGCTGCAAGAGAGCAAGGCAATGTTTAGATACATGTGTAGGAATTCAATCACTTAAGATAGCCTATGTGAATACAATGAAACAAAATTGTAAGACCTCCCCATCTTATCCCATGGATTACATTTTTCTATATATGTTGCCTAAATGATAATATCATCTTCTGATTGCTTCAAGTGGTCATGCCTGTGAAAGTGATCAGTAAAAAGCACTTAAAACATTTACTGATTGTTTTAGATACATGAAAAGTGCTCCCGAGATATTAAAAACTGATACTCACCGCTCTTACTAGTTTAGTGTTCAAAGAGTCCATCACATTAAATTCTAAATCTTTGATCTGACTAGATGTATGATTAGTGAAAATGATGGAGGCAATGATATTATGACCTTGTTGTGAACTTGCACGAGTCTCATATGTCTGAAACAAAATGTCATAATTCAATCAGACCAAAAGAAATTCAATTGAATGTAACATAATGTCTTTTCATTGTCAATGAAAAGTACTTATTTTCAAAATCCATATTTGAAAGACAATTAAGAATGTTGACTATACCCTAGTACACTTTTCACAAACCCTATCCTTCATTTAATCTATATAAAGAATGCAGCTTTTATCACATAAGCAGTTACTCACCAGAGAGACATGCGAATTCTCTGCAAGTACTTGGTATTTTGACATGGTTGGAAGGTTTGGATTCACAGGTCCATTTTCTACTAGTTCATTCTGTTCTTTAGAAGGAGTTGAAATACCATCAGTTTCCAAATATTCACTGCGCTTCTTTTTGCTTTTGCTCTTTTTGTCTTTTTTGTGTTTTTTCTCTTTCTTTTTCTTGTGCTTCTGAAAATATTTTTAAAAACTGTGAACAAAATGGAAAATGTTAGTTAAACAAATTTTAAAAATATGATCATTAAAAATTCAGGCAGTATGTATGTATATTTGGTTCATGCATGGTGATGTTGAGTATCATGTGACCTTTTGTTACCGTAATGTTTAGTGTTCTCTGACTTTTCCTTTTGCAATGAAAATTAAAAAGTATATATATTAGAAGAAAAAAAGTTCACACCTCCTCAGGTTGTTCATCCTCTGAAGTTAAAACTACATCAGCAGCAGATTTGGCGACTGGTTTCTCTGGATCTTCTGGCTTTGCTTCTGCTGCTGGTTTGGCATCACTTCCAGACAGCCAGAAATCCAAGTCCTCCATCTATAAGTATGGAAAAGCAAAATTATAATGACTTTCAATGTAAGTTAGTTCAGCAAAAAAACTGAAAAAGCATCATAAATATAACTATAGTCCATTTTTTGAAAATTGATACATTTTACAACTACTATTTTACTTACATATAAATATGTATTTGAAAGAGAATGTATTTGAAAGAGAAGATAAATGAAACAGGACAAGAGTGATTTAGTGTGGACATACTGACTGAAAGAAACAGAAGCGTGTCTTTCATTAATGTACAAAGTACCAAACTTATATATCATTGTTTTCTCCTGAAATTAAGGAACTGTGAATAACTGGCACAACTCTTGATTACATATTCTACCTAAACCTTTTTTCACTCAAATATAAAAAGCAAATGATTCAGTTAGAAATTGACAGAGGTGACGTTTAGGTGACCCTCAAAATTTCTACACTATCAAATCTATTGTATACCTACTTTATTTTCTTTCACTGCAGTATCGACATCCACAGTTTCTGTAGCAGATTGAACTGGTTCTGCCACAGCTGCACTTTCCTCGGTTCCTCCTAGCAGATTAGGTTCTTCTGCCTCTTCTTTAGCTTTAGATTTGGACTTCTTTTTCTCTTTCTGAATGTAAAAAAAAAAAAAAAACAATAATCAAGTTTGAAAATTGTTTCATTTAACAAAAAGAGAAAGTGCAGTTTTTCAAACCCTACCAACTTCAAACCCTACCAACTCTTCAAGGAAGAAAAAAATGTTATTAGAACGATAAACTTCACTAACCTTAGATTTTTTCTCTTTCTTGCCTTCTCTGTCTTTTTTGTGTTTCTTTTTTGGTTTCTCCTCCTTCTCAGGCTGTTCATTTGTACCCACCACATGGTGAGTTCTGACTGGCAGAGTTTCTCCTGGCTGAAGTGGTCTACAATTTAAAAAACAACACATTTCTCATATCAAAATTTTACCAGGTCACTTACATCAACTAGCCATTAACATCATAGCTCAACTCATGCAAATTCAAATTCATTCAAAATACACTGGTTACAATCCTACTCCAGTTGACCTCATGTTGGATACGAAAAAAATACTGAATGTGGATGATAAACTTACACATCTAAGTTGATATCAAGTAACCTGTGGGGGTCATCAGGATTCCCACCATCATCCTCTCCTTCAGATGCACTAGCACCCTGAACATAAGAACAATTGTGGTAAGTTAACATCAAATCCCATATTTGAAGGTGAAACTTGTTATCAATTAAGTATTAGAAATGGTTCTAATCCAATGACAGTGTGCTATCAAATGATTATTCGGCATTACATCTTGTACACATTCAGTAACATTTACATTCAAAATACCCCCCCCTCATGATTAAAAATAAATAAATAAGATAAATAAATGAATCAATTAATTTTTAATAAATAAATACCTCTGGCATATCATATGCTGCACTGACAGCATGCATGACAGGAATGTTATCATCTTCTTCCTCTGACTCCACTTTGCCTTTCTTTCCCTTCTTATGTTTCTTCTTCTTCTTGCCCTTCTTGGAAGACATAGCTCTTTCTTGTTCTCTCTGTAGCTGCATGTACTTATCTGTGGCGGACATGCCTGCTGGAGAGTCACCATGGGAGTTAGAGCGGGTATTGAATATTATGGGCAAGTACAGTTTTAAACTATGCTTTTCTTCAAATAAAATGCCACATTTTAGTAACTAAGAAGAGGGGAACAAATCGGTCAAAGATATATAACAAAGTTTTAGACCCACTAAGAGCAGACAACTAAAGCCTGGTAGGTATAACAATATTTTGAATGCAACTTTGTTATCTTAAAAATTCTTTTCACAAAATCAGTAAGCAAATGCCAAGAATCCATCCCCATATTCATAAATGCATTTCCCTATGAATTGCTAGCACCAATAGAGAGCGATAGTACCAGTTTTCTGACTCAAAGGCATTACCTGGTATGTGGAGTGGGACAGAAAGGTCAATCTCTGCCACTGGAATGTCATTTGCATTTGATGCATATTCATTGCCTGTTTTCTGGAAACAAAAGGATATGAACTGAAATACTGTGTTTGAATGGTCGTAACACGAAAGAAAATGCTTTACATATGACATCTATAAAATATCTCCCATGTACAATGTGACCCAGCTACTTAACTGAAGGAGTTCACACTCAGTTAAGACTTCAGAGTCTTAAATCAATTGTTCACACAAAAGATTGCCTGTTCTAATATCTTTAATTTGTTTAAAATGTAGAATTTCTACTCACTTTAGAACTTGCACTGGCCTTGAGATAATTAGGGTTACTCTCCTGTTCAGCCCTTCTTTGCTCTCTCATCTAAATATAAAAATAAATATATGTATAACTAAGTTTTACAACTCAAACATTGTTACTTAAAATATTTAGAAGTAATGTAGAAGCAACAAGATTGCAAAGGGATGGATACAATCTGCTCACAACATGAAACCAGTTCACAGTTTTGGTTTAAATGTAGCATGGACTGAACAAAAAATTGATAACTAACCTGAGCTAATTCCTCAACAGTTGGCTCATGCACCTTCTTTTCTGGTTGATATAGTGATCTGTGTGTGTCTGTTGTTGATGAAAAAAGTGCTGAGGAGGATTCTTCTTCCTCACTACTCTCTGATGGTGGGTCATTAATCCATTTGTCCAGGTCAAGGCTGAAATACAGAATTTTCTGAAATACATCTGAGACAAGGCTCAAAGTCTAGCTTAATAAAACAACATTACAAAGAAAATGCACATTCTCAAGTTGCATTTACTTGATATCTTTTATATAAAATGTCAAAACATAAGATGAATTAAATTTTAATAAGGCAGTTGTTGGAGCTATATCTAAGTATGGAATTCTGCTATGTCCCGTACCGACTCAAACTATTGGCTCCATTTTATATATACCCATTGTGAAAGTTCAATGTTCATTTGTGGAACACTAACTGCAGAAAGGGTAACTTGGGTAGTTGCAATTATTCCAACCTCATTGCCTTATCAGGACACAGACATTACTTAAAGTAACCAATGATTTTACTAAAATACCCTCTTTCATTATCTCCATTCTTTGAAACAAATATTTAATATATAATTACCCCTCTGGCACCGGGACCTTTTTCTGAGCTTTGGGGGCCACGGGGTTGAGTTCTCCAGCAAACAGAGCTGATACTTCCTCTGCCACCTTGACATCTTTCTCCACCAATTTCAAAACATATTTCATAAGCTGGAGGGCACTGCTTCCCTGAGAAACCAAACCACAGCATTGATTTTCATTCAAAGAATGTAACTCAAGATAAAACCTAATTCTTCCTCAAAGGGAATACATGAATAGAAAAACAAAAGATTTATTTCAACTTGACAAACACAATCATTGATTATTCAAGTCCTTCAATGTAAACACCCTATGATATAAGCAAATAAGAAAAATCAATATCCTTGTGGCTTACCCTTTCTTGAACTTCTAAATCAGCACTTTGGACAAACATTGGCAGTTTTTCTGACATAAACTGTGTCAGTTCTTTGACTAATTCAGTATTATCCTCCTCCTCTGCCTTGGTCAGCAGTATGGAGTAAAGCTTGAGGGAATTCTGCACAAACACACCCTGAATATGACCAGGAAGGAGGGTGGCCTTGGACTTCAGCATGGCCTCAAGAGTGCTCCTCGGATCCTTCAGATGCCTTAAAACAAAAAAGTCCAAACATATGATAATATTTGCACATACAAGTGAAAAAAAGGCTAGGGCGCAGTGTCCTTTTTCCAGGAATTCCATAAAGGCCTAAAAAGTTGGGTTAAACTATGACTGCCATTAAAACATAATCAACTGCTTAATTTTTCATCCTTCTGTTCAGAATTATATAAATTAAAATATTACCATGAAATATACACCTTACAAAACAAACCCTTTGCAGTTGTAATTTTTGGAAAAAGGAAATATTATGAAATGTCACACCTTGGAAAGGTTATTTGATCACCACTTAAAAATTCTGATCAAGTATTGCTATCGAAACAGTGTAATACTACTTACTCTGAGAACTCTCCACAGATCCAGGCAGCAGCATACAGCACCTCACAGATTCCATTCCTCTGGGAGTTCACTGCTAGCAAGTGGGAGTTATCCAGAAGAATTGCCTGAAAATCATCCACATGATCAACTCTGTGGGGACTAGACGTGTTGGACATATCATGAAATATATCATAGTCAAAAGACCAAAGAAGATAGGAAAGATCTCAGAAAACCGTCTGACCATACTTTTCTTGCAACTTTAAAAAAGACAAAGTCATCAAACATTGAAGTTTGACAACACAGGAAGCTATCTGCCAAAATTGCTTGCCTCTGTGTATCCGCTTCCATGGGCGTGTTTCCACGAAAACAAAACATTATACTCACCATTTGTGACACAGAGAAAGGTCTAATGGCTTGTACCCTGATTGCTACATCCAACATCTGAGATGCAATCATTTTGCCATGCTTCGTTCCCTCAATTCTAGTAAGTTCCACAAGCACACTGACATACCTAAAAACATGAAAGTATTGTAAGATGAAAAAAAATTACTTTCATGCCACATGGTTTTACATTTTTTTAATATGTCAAACATGACATTTATGAAGTTCACCCACTGGAAACACTATCATTTTTCAAACATATTCCATTATAAGAAAATATGACCCAAATAAAACCATTTTCCAGAATACTTACCATTCAAAATTGGTCACATACTGGTAATTGGACTGACTGCATATTTCTATGATCTTGGCGAGCAGTTCGTCCCTATAGTTTGACCCCTCTGCCTTATCCATGTGGATCATCAACTTCTTCACTATTTCCATCAAATTTTTCTTGGAAACCTTGAATTCAAAATATCAAACACATCAACTTCTGAAAGAAGACTCCCAAAATAATATACTACTTGGTGATCACCAAAGTAACACTGATTAATTATTTAACTTCATCTTTAGAAAAACAAAAATGTGTTCAGCTTAAATTTCATATTCACACATGGTTGGTGTGATTGACTTACCATGCCATACAATAGGTCCAATGCCCTCAATCTAATGGATTCATCCTTGTCATCCAAGCACTGNTTTGCTGAAAAGTGAAAAAACAGCATAACTTCTACAATAATGGCCCGATCATGCTGATTTTCGAACTTGACCTGCGTTTTATGAATATTCATCAGCTCTGTAAATATAAAGCCAAAAAGTAAAACTGCCCTCCACTAATCGTGTTTACAAGGAAAGTGCACGGCGCCGGCATCGCCATCGGCGACGACAGACGCAGGTGATGGCAATATGTACAGACACATCTGTGTCTGTACATAAAAACAATAATCAAGTTTGAAAATTGTTTCATTTAACGAAAAGAGAAAGTGCAGTTTTTCAAACCCTACCAACTTCAAACCCTACTAACTCTTCAAGGAAGAAAAAAATGTTATTAGAACGATAAACTTCACTAACCTTAGATTTTTTCTCTTTCTTGCCTTCTCTGTCTTTTTTGTGTTTCTTTTTTGGTTTCTCCTCCTTCTCAGGCTGTTCATTTGTACCCACCACATGGTGAGTTCTGACTGGCAGAGTTTCTCCTGGCTGAAGTGGTCTACAATTTAAAAAACAACATATTTCTCATATCAAAATTTTACCAGGACACTTACATCAACTAGCCATTAACTTCATAGCTCAACTCATGCAAATTCAAATTCATTCAAAATACACTGGTTACAATCCTACTCCAGTTGACCTCATGTTGGATACGAATAAAATACTGAATGTGGATGATAAACTTACACATCTAAGTTGATATCAAGTAACCTGTGGGGGTCATCAGGATTCCCACCATCATCCTCTCCTTCAGATGCACTAGCACCCTGAACATAAGAACAATTGTGGTAAGTTAACATCAAATCCCATATTTGAAGGCGAAACTTGTTATCAATTATGTATTAGCAGTGTGCTTTCAAATGATTATTCGGCATTACATCTTGTACACATTCAGTAACATTTACCTTCAAAATACCCCCCCCCCCCCATGTTTAAAAATAAATAAATAAATAAATGAATCAATAAATTTTTAATAAATAAATACCTCTGGCATATCATATGCTGCACTGACAGCATGCATGACAGGAATGTTATCATCTTCTTCCTCTGACTCCACTTTGCCTTTCTTTCCCTTCTTATGTTTCTTCTTCTTCTTGCCCTTCTTGGAAGACATAGCTCTTTCTTGTTCTCTCTGTAGCTGCATGTACTTATCTGTGGCGGACATGCCTGCTGGAGAGTCACCATGGGAGTTAGAGCGGGTATTGAATATTATGGGCAAGTACAGTTTTAAACTATGCTTTTCTTCAAATAAAATGCCACACTTCAGTAACTAAGAAGAGGGGAACAAATCGGTCAAAGATATAAAACGAAGTTTTAGACCCATTAAGAGCAGACAACTAAAGCCTAGTAGGTATAACAATACTTTGAATGCAACTTTGTTATCTTTAAAATTCTTTTCACAAAATCAGTAAGTAAATGCCAAGAATCCATCCCCATATTCATAAATGCTTTTCCCTATGAATTGCTAGCACCAATAGAGAGCGATAGTGCCAGTTTTCTGACTCAAAGGCATTACCTGGTATGTGGAGTGGGACAGAAAGGTCAATCTCTGCCACTGGAATGTCATTTGCATTTGATGCATATTCATTGCCTGTTTTCTGGAAACAAAAGGATACCAACTGAAATACTGTATTTGAATGGTTGTAACACGAAAGAAAATGCTTTACATATGATATCTATAAAATATCTCCCATGTACAATGTGACCCAGCTACTTAACTGAAGGAGTTCACACTCACTTAAGACTTCAGAGTCTAAACCAATTGTTCACACAAAAGATTACCTGTTCTAATGTCTTTAATTTGTTTAAAATGTAGAATTTCTACTCACTTTAGAACTTGCACTGGCCTTGAGATAATTAGGGTTACTCTCCTGTTCAGCCCTTCTTTGCTCTCTCATCTAAAAAAAAAAAAAATATATATATATATATATATATATAACCAAGTTTTACAACTCAAACATTGTCACTTAAAATATTTAGAAGTAATGTAGATGCAACAAGGTTGCAAAGGGATGGATACAATCTACTCACAACATGAAACCAGTTCAAAGTTATGGTTTAAATGTAGCATGGACTGAAAAAAATGATAACTAACCTGAGCTAATTCCTCAGCAGTTGGCTCATGCACCTTCTTTTCTGGTTGATATAGTGATCTGTGTGTGTCTGTTGTTGATGAAAAAAGTGCTGAGGAGGATTCCTCTTCTTCACTACTCTCCGATGGTGGGTCATTAATCCATTTGTCCAGGTCAAGGCTGAAATACAGAATTTTCTGAAATATATCTTAGACGAGGCTCAAAGTCTAGCTTAATAAAACTACATCACAAAGAAAATGCACATTCTCAAGTTGCATTTACTATTCTGCTTCTAGATATCTTTTATATAAAATGTAAAAACATAACATGAATAATTAAATTCTAATAAGGCAGTTGTTGGAGCTATATCTAAGTATGGAAATTTGCAATGTCCCGTACGGACTCAAACTATTGGCTCCATTTCATATATACCCATTGTGAAAGTCCAATGTTCATTTGTGGAACACTAACTGCAGAAAGGGTAACTCGGTTAGTTGCAATTATTCCAACCTCATTGCCTTATCAGGACAGAGACATTACTTATGTTAGCCAATAATTTTACTAAAATACCTTCTTTCATTATTTCCATTCTTTGAAACAAATATTTATATATTTACCCCTCTGGCACCGGGACCTTTTTCTGAGCTTTGGGGGCCACGGGGTTGAGTTCTCCAGCAAACAGAGCTGATACTTCCTCTGCCACCTTGACATCTTTTTCCACCAATTTCAAAACATATTTCATAAGCTGGAGGGCACTGCTTCCCTGAGAAACCAAACCACAGCATTGATTTTCATGCAAAGAATGTAACTGAAGATAAAACCCAATTCTTCCTCAAAGGGAATACATGAATAGAAAAACAAAAGATTTATTTCAACATGACCAACACAATCATTGATTATTCAAGTCCTTCAATGTAAACACCCTATGATATAAGCAAATAAGAAAAATCAATATCCTTGTGGCTTACCCTTTCTTGAACTTCTAAATCAGCACTTTGGACAAACATTGGCAGTTTTTCTGACATAAACTGTGTCAGTTCTTTGACTAAGTCAGTATTATCCTCCTCCTCTGCCTTGGTCAGCAGTATGGAGTAAAGCTTGAGGGAATTCTGCACAAACACACCCTGAATATGACCAGGAAGGAGGGTGGCCTTGGACTTCAGCATGGCCTCAAGAGTGCTCCTCGGATCCTTCAGATGCCTTAAAACAAAAAAGTCCAAACATATGATAATATTTGCACATACAAGTGAGAAAAAGCTAGGGCGCAGTGTCCTTTTTCCAGGAATTCCATAAAGGCCTAAAAAGTTGGGTTAAACTATGACTGCCATTAAAACATAATCAACTGCTTAATTTTTCATCCTTCTGTTCAGAATTATATAAATTAAAATATTAACATGAAATATACACCTTACAAAACAAACCCTTTGCAGTTGTAATTTTTGGAAAAAGGAAATATTATGAAATGTCACACCTTGGAAAGGTTATTTGATCACCACTTAAAAATTCTGATCAAGTATTGCTATTGAAACAGTGTAATACTACTTACTCTGAGAACTCTCCACAGATCCAGGCAGCAGCATACAGCACCTCACAGATTCCATTCCTCTGGGAGTTCACTGCTAGCAAGTGGGAGTTATCCAGAAGAATTGCCTGAAAATCATCCACATGATCAACTCTGTGGGGACTAGACGTGTTTGACATATCATGAAATATATCAGAGTCAAAAAAAAAAAAAAAAAAAAGTCAAAGAAGATAGGAAAGATATCAGAAAACCGTCTGACCATACTTTTCTTGCAACTTTAAAAAAAGACAGTCATCAAACATTGAAGTTTGACAACACAGGAAGCTATCTGCCAAAATTGCTTGCCTCTGTGTATCTGCTTCCATGGGTGTGTTTCCACGAAAACAAAACATTATACTCACCATTTGTGACACAGAGAAAGGTCTAATGGCTTGTACCCTGATGGCTACATCCAACATCTGAGATGCAATCATTTTGCCGTGCTTCGTTCCCTCAATTCTAGTAAGTTCCACAAGCACACTGACATACCTAAAAACATGAAAGTATTGTAAGATGAAAAACATTAATTTCATGCCACATGGTGTTATTTTTTTAATGTGTCAAACATGACATTTATGAAGTTCACCCACTGGAAACACTATCATTTTTCAAACATATTCCATTATAAGAAAATAAGACCCAAATAAAACCATTTTCCAGAATACTTACCATTCAAAATTGGTCACATACTGGTAATTGGACTGACTGCATATTTCTATGATCTTGGCGAGCAGTTCGTCCCTATAGTTTGACCCCTCTGCCTTATCCATGTGGATCATCAACTTCTTCACTATCTCCATCAAATTTTTCTTGGAAACCTTGAATTCAAAATATCAAACACATCAACTTCTGAAAGAAGACTCCCAAAATAATATACTACTTGGTGATCACCAAAGTAACACTGATTAATTATTTAACTTCATCTTTAGAAAAACAAAAATGTGTTCAGCTTAAATTTCATATTTACACATGGTTGGTGTGATTGACTTACCATGCCATACAATAGGTCCAATGCCCTCAATCTAATGGATTCATCCTTGTCATCCAAGCATTGCAATATCAAGTCTTTGTGACTTTGTACACTCTTTGGATGTGTTTTTAGGATCTTTGACATTGCTAACAAACCCAAATATTTCACTGAAAAAACAAACAGAAGAATACTTTAAATTTCTTATACTCATTAAAACACTATGGATATGTGGAAAAACATACAACATAAAAGGCATTTTACTGACAGTTCACCGAGGTGGCTCTCTCAAATAGGTGACTGATTATGAGATTTAATTCAAGTACTTTCTTGAATGCTTTAATGTGAACCATAATAATATTTATTGAAAATTAAGCTTACAATTCTGGTCTGAATCTTCAATCAAAATCCTTAATTTCTGCACACACAACTGGAATCAAAAGTTTAGAGTAGAGTATAAATTGATGACAACACAGTAAAAAAAGCTTATGCATCTTAAAAGATAAACATTGTTCATTTTACAAATATCAAATATTTTAGCACCAGCAAGATAATATAAAATATTTACAGCAGTTCAGTTTGGACATAGTTTTTGTCTTACTCAAATATGTCTCTTGTACAAACAAACCTGGACACCTGTTCTTAATGAACATCTTAATTGACCTGCATATCAAGTTTAAATGTGCTACAATGGGAAAAGTATCAAAACATGAGACATGTACCTGAATAGATGCTGAATGATTGGGGACGCCTGAAGATATAGAAATAAGGACTGTAAGTAAGAGCAGAAAAAAAATGTGTCAGCAGTGAGCTTCTCAGCCAGGAAACATATATCATAATCAGAAACAGTCCGACTTACTACAAAATTTTTTGATTTGGTTACTTGACATTTTGAAAGAGTGATCATGCACATCTTTTGTTACAAATTTGTTCACCAATCAAGACTTGATTTCACTGAAACTTTCTCATAACTCTAATTCTGTAAATGTTTATTTTTTATGATGAAATCCTCTTTCACATATTTCAAGATAAGGAAATCTAGGTGCATTTTCTTTTTTATCTTAATAAAACAGTCTCTTCATTTTCAATATTGTATCCTGCCAACTGGCAGAATGGTTGTTGATAGGCACCACTCAGTTTATGCCCAATCCCACACCCATTACCTATGAGAAACAAAATATTTAGCTTAGGTTAATAAGCACAAAGGACCCATACTGTCGAACCAAACTTTGCACACTGACAACAGAAAAAAGGTGCTAGGCTGCACTTGAAAAAAAAATGTAAGCAAAGCATGCATAAAAATGCCATGAAATAACACTGAAGAAGAAAAAAAGTAACAAAAAAGTCTGATACACTGAACCATGCAGGAGAACAGGTTAATAAAACTCAGGATCTGGAGTGAGACACGTTAGTTCAACAACCCCAGCGAAGAAAGAATCTACTTCAGAAACTGAGAAGTGAAATTGTCAGCAACCAAAATGCCAGTTTCTATATATTCACTGCAGACACTAGATATTTACAAAAAAATTAAAAATCAATAAATATAAACATCATTAAGTTGTACCAAATTATGAAGATGGAAGATGAATATCGAGCATATATTAAGCTAAAATGCAAGTTGAGATTGAATTCATTCAGTGGTTTTATTGGATGCACACAGATTAACAATGCAAGACCATTCTGTTCTAGTTTCTCACATCCATTCTTATCAAGACAATAAAACTACTGCATCTCAGAGATTTGTACCATTATAATATTTCCTATTAACACTGAATCAGATTTATTAATCAATACTTCTAATAAAAATAAGTTACCTGCTATAACTGTGTTGATGCATTCATACAGCAGTGACATGGCAGAAGTGCTGAAAATACATTTAGAAAAATGAACTAAAAATTTCCTTTTTTCCAAGCTGCAAAATCTATTACCTTAAAATCTTATCAAAATAAAAAACAACAACACTTGTTTGCACAAAAAAAAAACAGTAATAAAGAAATCCAAATTAATGCAATAATTATTTCAAACTAAACTGAACTGTTCAGCTCTATTTACCTGTGTATTAGATTGGTCAACGGCTCTATCAGCTTCTTACCTAACCTTGGTTCTANAAAAAACATTTAGAAAAATGAACTAAAAATTTCCCTTTTTCCAAGCTGCAAAATCTATTACCTTAAAATCTTATCAAAATAAAAAACAACAACACTTGTTTGCACAAAAAAAAAACAGTAATAAAGAAATCCAAATTAATGCAATAATTATTTCAAACTAAACTGAACTGTTCAGCTCTATTTACCTGTGTATTAGATTGGTCAACGGCTCTATCAGCTTCTTACCTAACCTTGGTTCTAATGGAGTCAGAGCACCAAACTAGGAAAAAAAATTCAACTATCAGCAACAACAGAGACAGAATTCAATTTCAACAAGTGATATACTGAAAAAACTCAATAAAATGGCATAACTGCTTATGAAAATGGCATATATTGAGACAATTGCAGAAAATTGCTTATAAATCTAACTGAAAATATGTTGAAGTTAGTACTCAATAACAATCAGCTACTCTTAACTGATAATCTTTACTATAAATTTTCTTTTATTCTATTATAACATTTTCCTTACCAATTTGATAATTTTGATGAGCATCCAATTATTTGTTGAACTTGTCATGAGCTTAAAGAACACTGGAGCTAGAGACAAATAGTTCTTGGGGTTCTTCCTGGCCAGTTCACAAACCACATTTACAGCCGCAGATTGCACTCCTGAAGATATGAAATGTTAACACTTTAGTTTTTCTGAACCACATTTTTTACAGTATCTTTTTTTAAAATAAATATCTATAATCATCCAATCTAACAAAATCAAGTACTTAAACATCACCAATTATGGAGGCTGTATATAGTTAATCATATGATAACAACTAAATTACAAAATGATTTCAAGTTGCACTCAAGAGCAAATTACAGCTTAACCACTCTCTATTGAACCACATTCTAGACAGCTAAATAAATGTACAAATAGACATTACCAGGATCTGGGTCTTCTAGTTTTTCTTTCAACCTAGGAAATGCAGGCCTCAAAGCCTCTGGGAATTTGAGGAATACTTTGTAGGTGATCAATACTGCTTTTTTTCTTATGTATGGCCTAGTAGCAGTCAACTGGAAGAAAAATAACCACTTTGTACATTACTTACACAAATGAAACAGAGCAAGCTGCAGGGGTTCTCTATCTTTATTTCTGCATGCTTAGGCAATACAGCAAAATGGCTACTCTCTGTTACTAATGTTATCCTCCCTAAATACTGAGAAGGAGGTTGGGGGATATTCTTTAATGTTATTTTAACATTGCCAATTAATGATAAATGTTTAGCTGTTTCCAAAGAGTAATATGTCATACATCTCTATCAAATCAATTTTTGAGTGCTTCAATTTGTGTTACAAGTTGTACTGAGCGTATAGTACAACTACATTCATAAATACACCATACCTATTGCATGTAATCTAATAAAATTATAATAATATTATATATATATATATATATAATCAATACAACTTCCTACCAAGGTCATGATATCATTAGCTAAGTCCCTTGCCAAGTCAGGAGTCATGAAACATGACAGTCCACTGAGAGCCACTCCAGCATCATACATCTGCTGGGAGCTCAAGTCTTTCCTGATCATGTTGGTAGTTAACATGAGAACATCAGTGCCCTCATTGAAACTCTGGGAAGCTGCTAGATATCCCACCCTCTGGAATCACCAAACAGAACAATATACTGGATGTGTGACTGAATATCTGAATGTGGACATATAACACCACTATCATTTCTGACCTAGTACCTATCTATTATACTTCCTTGAAAATCACAATCCTTATTATTACATTAGATTTAAACTGCAAACTACTTCATCAAATAGAAGTTTTTTTTTTTTCAGTGATAACATGATAACATTCAATTCAACCAAGGCACAGGAAGTGGACTTGAATGACATTATGAAATATCCACAAGCTACCATTGATTTCTCAGGGGCATGAAATTAAGCAGACAAAAATGCCACAATGTTTATCAGAAAGTATACAACCACATGGATAAAAAATACCGCAATGATGTTTGTCAGGAAGACTATAATTTATGCCCTTACCTTGAATGTAAATTTGGTTGAACTCATTACTTCTATGACATTAAAAGCAGCCCAGCTGATGTCATATCCAATCATTTGTAGCTGAAAGTTGAAATCACATCACACTAAATTTGACATCATTATGAGCAATTTATGGTCGGGGCATGAGGACACATATTTAAACACAAACAAAATGAAAAGCTCAAGTTGTCAACAACACATCTTCAAAAACAATTTCAAAAATTCTCCGTATGCCAATTCTACTCACGTATGCCAATTTGTTGACTGCATTGGCTTTGATTGCTATGTTGTCTTGACGCAATTCTTGCTTGATTTCATCTAAACACTGAGAAATGTACTTGGCCTGAAAATAATTCAACAATTACTAGCATATCACTGTGGCTATAGAGAACAAGTTGGCCTTGGGGTAAATGGCATCAATCACATCCCTAATTTTTTCATCTTGAAAATTCAGAGAGCTTTTGATGCTTGGAATATTACTTGATATCATGACTATTCCTATGTGGGCATCTAAAAACCCCCAATGGTAAGTGCCGTTGTCTAAACTCCATTAATTTTAATAATAATGGATAAAGAGTATTGTCAGATTTTTATTTTCATCTCTGTGCTTGGTAAACTACAGCTGGTATGAGGAGTTTGTGGGAATGGACAGATTTGCGATCATTTTCCAATTAAACATTTTCCAAAAAAGCAATGTTTCAAAAAAAATTTCTAGTTATGCAGTTATGTGGTTCTGCAATACATGTTTAGTTTTGCTTTACTTTCGATGAAAAAGTCAACTCACTGTTTATAATTCCTAATCCGATAACAATTTTATGTGAACTTTCCTGCTATATGAAAAATACACCTGCTGGTCAAATGCATACTGCAAGTCATGATGTAACTGCATAAAATGTTTAGTGAAAAAAAAAAAAAAAAAAACACTCATCATGGCACTTAACCTTGAGTGTAGCTGCAGTAGAGGGACAAGTTCATGGGAATTACATTCATGTAGGAAAAGATTCATGATGACAATTAAGTACATACTTTATTTCTTCGTGGTTCCTCATTTATTACATTTTTGGGTTGAAGTGTGTCTGTTGTATTACTTAGTATTGAATAGCCTGCACAAACACATTAAACGGTAAAAAAGTAACTTAAAAAACATGAGCATGCTTGATAGTCATTGCAATTCATCCTCTTTCGCCATGATGGATAGTGTTCAAATGTGAAATTGACACAGCAAATTTCATCTTAAATTAAAAGTAGAGGGCTAATGGCAAATAAACAATCTGGCAAGATCTCCATTTTTCTTAACTTTAAACTAAATTTTTAACTACTAGGACCTGACACTATGGTAAAAAATAATGTGTTTTTGTTAGACTGGAATATTGATTATAGCACCTTACTAGTAATTTTAAGATGTGACAACTAAACTATATGAGGCCTGAACAGTTGTCAAGAAATTCCAAGCAAAATGCTTCAAATGAGATACAAACTAGACTCACTTTATAATTAACGAAGTATTAGAATTGCGTTGGGAGAGTCGTACTAGTGCATGTACATGGAAGTGGGCGGATGTGAAAAATTATTGTTGTTATGCCATACCAACTGCATCACATGTAAAATATGGAAGTTGAGCAAACAATTCTTAATGGTGGCTGTCAAGTTAGGTAATTTCACACGGCGTACAAATTGAATAAATAAACCTATATAAGGATTGAAATAACAATTGAATCAATCGAACAAACCTCGTTCTCTTTGTGGTTTCTGATGCCTCGTACAAGATCCTGGAGGTTTTTGTCAAGGACCCTCTCAAGATGTCCCTTAACTTTCTTTAACGCCATCTTGTCGTCAAATTATTATTACTCCTGCCGCCTCCTAAAAATGAGACAAAACATCTGAGCAAAGTCAAAGACACAGAATGCTGTCTTACACTTTTGCCGATTTCGGAAGTCAATATGGCTGCTGCAGAAAGTAGATCATGTGATATGTTGACGTGTTGGGAGGAAGAAGTTCCGTTTTCGTTTTAAGATGATAGTATCACAATAATATCAATACAGAATGCAAGATAAAATATAAATAAACACACATACTGAAAACATCCATAAACTTTTAAAGTTAAACGATATCTTTAACGGCGAAACTAAACGCAAGACCAAAAGCTAACAATTGTAAAAGTCACGTGATTTTTGGCACAGTACAATTTGTTTGGCTTGGAAACAGGACGTGTGTTCGCAAATCTGCATGTGAATTACGGTGGAAAGGCCACATGTAGTGCGCGATATGAGAAATCATGGACAGGAAGATAGTATGAGAAACTCCAAAATGAGTGGAGGAGGAGAATATCCAGAGAGATCTCCATCAGAACAGGTAGGATAGCAAAATTTGAAACTTTTTTCAACACGTCCTTCTTGAAACACCTACATGTAAGTCAGTCTGAGGAGGTCGGCGCTTCATTAATTATTTAAGAAAAAATGTTAGTAACAACACAGTGGCATATTCATTCTTACATAATTAAAATAAAGTTTTAATTTAAGTTGCATGAAAAAATATAAATGTAAGATTCCGTTTTTAGAAATGAAATTAAATGTAAAAAAAAGAACTTGAACGCAACCACAAGAGTCAAGTTATAGATCCGTCGTCATTATAGTTTCAACTCTATAATTACGACGAATCTATAAATTTTAGTCATACGTACATGCTGTAATTTTTGTTATGATTAGACTCACTGTCTGCAACTCTTATTGCTGTTTCACTTTTAAAAGTCTCAGTTTTAATGTGATAAATTATACCTGTTCATTTATTAAAAAAGTACATAAAAAGAAATAAATTAAATATGCCAAAGTTCTCTTGAAATACACTGTATATGGGAAAATGTTTTATGGAAGTAGCATTTATCAACTTAATGTCATTTTAACTGCTTTTTAGAACCATTCAATATATAAATATATATTTTTTCTAATTTTGTTTTTCAAAAAATTAAAGAATATGAAACAATTGAAAAATTTAAAGTATAAATTACTCAAACTGCTCAACAAATGATTAATATGGAACAGAAAAATGTTTTATCTCATACCAAATAAGGTTAATAGTTATGCTCAGAAGCATGAGAATATAATTTCAAATTCTATTTTAGGACACACAGCATTAGTTTTTTAACATGGACTTTGAAATATTTCATTCACCCAACCAACTTCATGCATAGCATATTTCTGTTTTAGAAAAAATTGCCAATATAATCAATTGATGCCTGGCATTTCTCTCTTGTAGATATCCGTCAATAGAATAGGTAAATGTCTCTTTGTGTTCATATGTGATAATCATATTTTGTCACTATCAAAAGACTATTGATTTACTAAAATACCTCTCTCACAACTCTAAGCTTGTAATTAGATACTATAGTGCCATTTATGATGAATCCATAGCACTACTTGTATTGATTGGTACTACATCCCTCCATAAATTGCTCAATGGTTTATTCACAGAATTAGTATAAACTGAATAATAAGTACCTGTCCAGTTGAATGACCAAGGAGATGAATATAAAGTACAGGGTAGGAAGATAGGCTTAGTGATGTTTATTTTGTAACCATTTTACTGTTAAATACAGTAAATAAACTCAGTCTTTAAAGTAAAACAAATTGAGACTCTCTCTTAAATAAATAAGTTACTCTTTTTAAAGCCAAAGGTCAACCATTTTGCAGCATTATACCAAGAATTAGACCTTAATAGAGCCATGACATATTTGGCTATCAGAAGACAAATTTGTAATAAAAGATAATACAGATACTGTGTAAATGTCTTCTGCACCATGAGTTGGTACACTTTACTAATCTGAGTAAACAAGAAACTCATCCTGTATCTTTTATGAGACGCATTAAAATGTCTAGCTGTCCAAGTTGCTGGGGCTAGAAAACATTTTAACACTTAAATTGTCTACACAGAGAGAGTGTTTAAGTACAAAAGAGACCCCCAGCTCTGGATAAAATTAAAGTGAAGTGCATTATTTAAGTACTTATTAATATTGAAAATTGGTCTTTGTATGTGGTAAGCAGCTTAAATTGCGAAATCTATTGTAAGTAATATAAATGTCATAGGGATTATCCCTGTGCTAGTGTACAACCTGCATCTGGAGTTGTTTGTCACATGAACTGCAATAACTTCTGCTCAATTCATATTTATATTCAGGATATTTCTATAGAAAAATTGGCAAAACAATAACATATTACTTTTCTTTGATTCATATGAGAGCAAATCTGTGTAAGTTGGTTCAAACTAAACTTGACGTCATTGGTCAAAAGGTCTTATGCGTCCATTTTAGGAGTGTGAGTGTTTGTGAAAACACGAGTATGTTTGGATTAAATAATAGAAATAGCTTGGTATTTATAATTGTTGTGCTCTAAATATGATCCGTAAACATTATAGTTTTATAATAATTCATCTCCAGACTGCTCGAGTACCTTTAGCGTCATTATTTACTTTTCTTTTATTCAGGACAATTGATAATTTATTTATTCAAACAACATGGTTTTCTATGGAAGAAGTGGAACTTTGATTTTGATTTAAGGTGTATGTATGTACAGTATGTATGTATGTGCTGCTGAAAAGGAAAGAAGATTGGTTGGCTTGAAGTTTCCTTATTAATGCCATTAAAGTGTACTGACCGTTTCCCTGAAATTTCCTCTATTTTTGAGCATGTAGTTGATACAAATTATAAATATTATGTCAAAAATCACCTCTGAAAGAGGCAGAATTTGGCAGTTTTTATACTGAAATTCGAATCCTATGCAAGAGCTACAAGGGACTTTGGGACATATGACTTGATACATTCAAGTACTCTAAAATGTGTCTAGGGTCCAAGTGTTATCTTATCTTTGACCTTTTTTCGAAATGAAATAAATATCTATTGATTGTAAATATGATTTAGTAATTTTTTCAATATAAATGTCATGTTTGATTTATAAATGTTTTTATTGAGGACATTATGTGACCTTCCTTATGCAACACACACCCACTAAATTAAGTGCCTCAAAAACTAAATTCTTCCGTAAAGATAGTGTATAAAGACAAATTCTTCCATAAAGACATAGTATATATATAATTACATATATGTTTATTAATTCTCCAAAAATGTTATATGTGGTATAGACTGAGTTTGGCATTCATACTGAAATATCTCATATATTTCATTTCATGCTGAAATAATTTTTTGTTCAGCTTCACACTAAACTACTCTTTATGCATATGTTTTCAGTTGGTGGATCTCCATGTGTATGTGATGCCTCCAGACCTGTGGCGGGAAAACAAAAACAATGCTGTCAACGAAGTCATTTCTGAAATGTCTTCAGCGGGATTTATTAGGTATTTTCTAAAGATATTTCACACAATCTCCTTTTTCATTTCTTTGTGCTAAAGCTGAATGTTAGATCTCAAGTTTGCCTTATTAAATTATAACAGGTGTAAAGATGTAATTTTCTTATTATATTTTATGATTTTTTAAAAATCTTTTTTTTATATATCAATTTTACCAATTTAACNGAAACCCAAATTAATGCAATAATTATTTAAAAAAAACTGAACTGTTCAGCTCTATTTACCTGTGTATTAGATTGGTCAACGGCTCTATCAGCTTCTTACCTAACCTTGGTTCTAATGGAGTCAGAGCACCAAACTAGGAAAAAAAAAATTCAACTATCAGCAACAACAGAGACAGAATTCAATTTCAACAAGTGATATACTGAAAAAACTCAATAAAATGGCATAACTGCTTATGAAAATGGCATATATTGAGACAATTGCAGAAAATTGCTTATAAATCTAACTGAAAATATGTTGAAGTTAGTACTCAATAACAATCAGCTACTCTTAACTGATAATCTTTACGATAAATTTTCTTTTATTCTATTATAACATGTTCCTTACCAATTTGATAATTTTGATGAGCATCCAATTATTTGTTGAACTTGTCATGAGCTTAAAGAACACTGGAGCTAGAGACAAATAGTTCTTGGGGTTCTTCCTGGCCAGTTCACAAACCACATTTACAGCCGCAGATTGCACACCTGGAGATCATGAAATGCGAACAATTCAGTTTTTCTGAACCACAATTGTTACAGTATCTTTTTTTAAAATAAATATCTATAATCATCTAATCTAAAAAAAACAAGTACTTAAGCATCACCAATTAAGGAGGCTGTATATAGTTAATCATTCGATAATAACTAAATTACAAAATGATTTCAAGTTGCACTCAAGAGCAAATTACAGCTAAACCAGTCTCTATTGAACCACATTCTAGACAGCTAAATAAATGTACAAATAAAGACATTACCAGGATCTGGGTCTTCTAGTTTTTCTTTCAACCTAGGAAATGCAGGCCTCAAAGCCTCTGGGAATTTGAGGAATACTTTGTAGGTGATCAATACTGCCTTTTTTCTTATGTATGGCCTAGTAGCAGTCAACTGGAAGAAAAATAACCACTTTGTACATTACTTACACAAATGAAACAGAGCAAGCTGCAGGGGTTCTCTATCTTTATTTCTGCATGCTTAGGCAATACAGCAAAATGGCTACTCTCTGTTACTAATGTTATCCTCCCTAAATACTGAGAAGGAGGGTGGGGGATATTCTTTAATGTTATTTTAACATTGCCAATTAATGATAAATGTTTAGCTGTTTCCAAAGAGTAATATGTCATACATCTCTATCAAATCAATATATATAATCAATTCAACTTCCTACCAAGGTCATGATATCATTAGCTAAGTCCCTTGCCAAGTCAGGAGTCATGAAACATGACAGTCCACTGAGAGCCACTCCAGCATCATACATCTGCTGGGAGCTCAAGTCTTTCCTGATCATGTTGGTAGTTAACATGAGAACATCGGTGCCCTCATTGAAACTCTGGGAAGCTGCTAGATATCCCACCCTCTGGAATCACCAAACAGAAAATATACAGCATGTGCGACTGAATATCTGAATGTGGACATATAGCACCACCATCATTTCTGACCTAGTACCTTACTATTATACTTCCTTGAAAATCACAATCCTTATTATTATATTAAATTTAAACTGCAAACTACTTCATCAAATAGAAGTTAATTTTTTTTTTCAGTGATAACATGATAACATTCAATTCAACCAAGGCAAAGGAAGTGGACTTGAATGACATTATGAAATATCCACAAGCTACCATTGATTTCTCAGGGGCATGAAATGAAGCAGACAAAAATGCCACAATGTTTATCAGAAAGTATACAACCACATGGATGAAAATACCGCAATGATGTTTGTCAGGAAGACTATAATTTATGCCCTTACCTTGAATGTAAATTTGGTTGAACTCATTACTTCTATGACATTAAAAGCAGCCCAGCTGATGTCATATCCAATCATTTGTAGCTGAAAGTTGAAATCACATCACACTAAATACGACATCATTATGAGCAATTTATGGTCGGGGCATGAGGACACATATTTAAACACAAACAAAATGAAAAGCTCAAGTTGTCAACAACACATCTTCAAAAACAATTTCAAAAATTCTCCGTATGCCAATTTTACTCACGTATGCCAATTTGTTGACTGCATTGGCTTTGATTGCTATGTTGTCTTGACGCAATTCTTGCTTGATTTCATCTAAACACTGAGAAATGTACTTGGCCTGAAAATAATTCAACAATTACTAGTATATCACTGTGGCTATAGAGAACAAGTTGGCCTTGGGGTAAATGGCATCAATCATATCCCTAATTTTTTCATCTTGAAAATTCAAGGAATTTTTGATGTTTGGAATATTACTTGATATCATGATTATTCCTATGTGGGCATCTAAAAACCCCAATGGTAAGTGCCGTAGTCTAAACTCCATTTATTTTAATAATAATGGATAAAGAGCATTATCAGATTTCTATTTTCATCTCTGTGCTTGGTACACTACAGCTGGTATTGAGGAGTTTGTGGGGATGGACAGATTTGTGATCATTTTCCAAAAAAGCAATGTTTAAAAAAAAAAAAGATTTCCAGATGCTGTTATGTGGCTCTGAAATACATGTTTAGTTTTGCTTTAATTTCAATGAAAAAGTCAACTCACTATTTATAAATCCTAATCCGATAACAATTTTATGTGAACTGTCCTGCTATATGAAAAATACACCTGCTGGTCAAATGCATACTGCAAGTCATGATGTAACTGCATAAAATGTTAAGTGAAAAAAAAAAAAAAAAAAACACTCATCATGGCACTTAATCTTGTGTGTAGCAGCAGTAGAGGGACAAGTTCATGGGAATTACATTCATGTAGGAAAAGATTCATGATGACAATTAAGTACATACTTTATTTCTTCATGGTTCCTCATTTATTACATTTTTGGGTTGAAGTGTGCCTGTTGTATTACTTAGTATTGAATAGCCTGCACAAACACATTAAACGGTAAAAAAGTAACTTAAAAAACATGAGCATGCTTGATAGTCATTGCAATTCATCCTCTTTCACCATGATGGATAGTGTTCAAATGTGAAATTGACACAGCAAATTTCATCTTAAATTAAAAGTAGAGGGCTAATGGCAAATAAAACTATCTGGCAAGATCTCCATCTTTCTTAACTATAAAGTAAATTACTAACTACTAGGACCTGACACTATGCTAAAAAATAATGTTTTTGTTAGACTGGAATATTGATAATACCACCTTACTTGTCATTTTAAGATGTGACAACTAAACTATTTGAGGTCGTAACAGTTTTCAAGAAATTCCATGCGAAATGTTTCAAATGAGATACAAACTAGACTCAATTTATAATTAACGAAGTGCGTAGGGAAAGTCGTACTAGTGTATGTACATGTAAGTGGGCGGATGTGAAAAATTATTGTTGTTCTGCCATACCAAGTGCATCACATGTAACATATGGAAGTTCAGCAAATAATTCTTAATGGTGGCTGTCAAGTTCGGTCATTTTACCCAGCGTACAAATTGAATAAATAAACCTATATAAGGATTGAAATAACAATTGAATCAATCGAACAAACCTCGTTCTCTTTGTGGTTTCTGATGCCTCGTACAAGGTCCTGGAGGTTTTTGTCAAGGACCCTCTCAAGATGTCCCTTAACTTTCTTTAACGCCATCTTGCCGTCAAATTTTTATTTCTCCTGCCGCCTCCTAAAAATGAGACAAAACATCTGAGCAAAGTCAAAGACACAGAATGCTGTCTTACACTTTTGCCGATTTCGGAAGTCAATATGGCTGCTGCAGAAAGTAGATCATGTGATATGTTGACGTGTTGGGAGGAAGAAGTTCCGTTTTCGTTTTAAGATGATAGTATCACAATGATAGGAATATAGAATGCAAGATAAAATATAAATAAACACACATACTGAAAATATTCATAAACTTTTAAAGTTAAAAGATATATTTCATGGCGAAACTAAACGCAAGACCAAAAGCTAACAATTGTAAAAGTCACGTGATTTTTGGCACAGTACAATTTGTTTGGCTTGGAAACAGGACGTGTGTTCGCAAATCTGCATGTGAATTACGGTGGAAAGGCCACATGTAGTGCGCGATATGAGAAATCATGGACAGGAAGATAGTATGAGAAACTCCAAAATGAGTCGAGGAGGAGAATATCCAGAGAGATCTCCATCAGAACAGGTAGGATATCAAATTTTGAAACTTTTTTCAACACCTCCTTCTTGAAACACCTACATGTAAGTCAGTCTGAGGAGGTCGGCGCTTCATTAATTATTTAAGAAAAAATGTTAGTAACAACACAGTGGCAAATTCATTCTTACATAATTAAATTAAAGTTTTAATTTATGTTGCATGAAAAATATAAATGTAAGATTCCGTTTTTAGAAGTAAATTAAATGTAAAAAAAAGAACTTGAACGCAACCACAAGAGTCAAGTTATAGATCCGTCGTCATTATACATGTAGTTTCAACTCTATAATTACGACGAATCTATAAATTTTAGTCATACGTACATGCTGTAATTTTTGTTATGATTAGACTCACTGTCTGCAACTCTTATTACTGTTTCACTTTTTAAAGTCTCAGTTTTAATGTGATAAATTATACCTGTTCATTTATTAAAAAAGTACATAAAAAGAAATAAATTAAATATGCCAAAGTTCTCTTGAAATACACTGTATATGGGAAAATGTTTTATGGAAGTAGCATTTATCAACTTAATGTCTTTTTAACTGCTTTTTAGAACCATTTCAATATATAAATATCTATTTTTTCTAATTTTGTTTTTCAAAAAATTAAAGAATATGAAACAATTGAAAAGTTTAAAGTATAAATTACTCAAACTGCTCAATAATCGATTAATATGGAACAGAAAAATGTTTTATCTCATACCAAATAAGGTTAATAGTTATGCTCAGAAGCATGAGAATATAATTATAATTATTTTAGGACACACAGCATTAGTTTTTTAACATGGACTTTGAAATATTTTATTCACCCAACCAACTTCATGCATAGCATATTTCTGTTTTAGAAAAAATTGCCAATATAATCAATTGATGTCTGGCATTTCTCAATTGTAGATATCCGTCAATAGAATAGGTAAATGTCTCTTTGTGTTCGTATGTGATAATCATATTTTGTCACTATCAAAAGACTATTGATTTACTAAAATACCTCTCTCACAACTCTAAGCTTGTAATTAGATACTATAGTGCCATTTATGATGAATCCATAGCACTACTTGTATTGATTGGTACTACATCCCTCCATAAATTGCTCAATGGTTTATTCACAGAATTAGTATAAACTGAATAATAAGTACCTGTCCAGTTGAATGACCAAGGAGATGAATATAAAGTACAGGGTAGGAAGATAGGCTTAGTGATGTTTATTTTGTAACCATTTTACTGTTAAATACAGTAAATAAACTCAGTCTTTAAAGTAAAACAAATTGAGACTCTCTCTTAAATAAATAAGTTACTCTTTTTAAAGCCAAAGGTCAACCATTTTGCAGCATTATACCAAGAATTAGACCTTAACAGAGCCATGACATATTTGGCTATCAGAAGACAAATTTGTAATAAAAGATAATACAGATACTGTGTAAATGTCTTCTGCACCATGAGTTGGTACACTTTACTAATCTGAGTAAACAAGAAACTCATCCTGTATCTTTTATGAGACGCATTAAAATGTCTAGCTGTCCAAGTTGCTGGGGCTAGAAAACATTTTAACACTTAAATTGTCTACACAGAGAGAGTGTTTAAGTACAAAAGAGACCCCCAGCTCTGGATAAAATTAAAGTGAAGTGCATTATTTAAGTACTTATTAATATTGAAAATTGGTCTTTGTATGTGGTAAGCAGCTTAAATTGCGAAATCTATTGTAAGTAATATAAATGTCATAGGGATTATCCCTGTGCTTGTGTACAACCTGCATCTGGAGTTGTTTGTCACATGAACTGCAATAACTTCTGCTCAATTCATATTTATATTCAGGATATTTCTATAGAAAAATTGGCAAAATAATAACATATTACTTTTCTTTGATTCATATGTGTAAGTTGGTTCAAACTAAACTTGACGTCATTGGTCAAAAGGTCTTATGCGTCCATTTTAGGAGTGTGAGTGTTTGTGAAAACACGAGTATGTTTGGATTAAATAATAGAAATAGCTTGGTATTTATAATTGTTGTGCTCTAAATATGATCCGTAAACATTATAGTTTTATAATAATTCATCTCCAGACTGCTCGAGTACCTTTAGCGTCATTATTTACTTTTCTTTTATTCAGGACAATTGATAATTTATTTATTCAAACAACATGGTTTTCTATGGAAGTAGTGGAACTTTGATTTTGATTTAAGGTGTATGTATGTATGTGCTGCTGAAAAGGAAAGAAGATTGGTTGGCTTGAAGTTTACTTATTAATGCCATTAAAGTGTACTGACTGTTTCCCTGAAATTTACTCTATTTTTGAGCATGTAGTTGATACAAATTATAAATATTATGTCAAAAATTACCTCTGAAAGAGGCAGAATTCGGCAGTTTTTATACTGAAATTCGAATCCTATGCAAGAGCTACAAGGGACTTTGGGACATGTGAATTGATACATTCAAGTACTCTAAAATGTGTCTAGGGTCCAAGTGTTATCTTATCTTTGACCTTTTTTCGAAATGAAATAAATATCTATTGATTGTAAATATGATTTAGTAATTTTTTCAATATAAATGTCATGTTTGATTTATAAATGTTTTTATTGAGGACATTATGTGACCTTCCTTATGCAACACACACCCATTAAATTAAGTGCCTCAAAAACTAAATTCTTCTGTAAAGATAGTATATAAAGACAAATTCTTCCATAAAGACATAGTATATATATATATATATAATTACATATATGTTTATTAATTCTCCTAAAACGTTATATGTGGTGTAGACTGAGTTTGGCATTCATACTGAAATATCTCATATATTTCATTTCATGCTGAAATATTTTTTGTTCAGCTTCACACTAAACTACTCTGTATGCATATGTTTTCAGTTGGTGGATCTCCATGTGTATGTGATGCCTCCAGACCTGTGGCGGGAAAACAAAAACAATGCTGTCAACGAAGTCATTTCTGAAATGTCTTCAGCGGGATTTATTAGGTATTTTCTAAAGATATTTCACACAATCTCCTCTTTCATTTCTTTGTGCTAAAGCTGAATGTTAGATCTCAAGTTTGCCTTATTTAATTATAACAGGTGTAAAGATGTAATTTTTTCTTATTATATTTTATGATTTTTTTAAAATCTTTTTTTATATATATCAATTTTACCAATTTACCTTTTTTTATTTTAGGGTTCATCCCCAACAAAAAATATATGAATTGAGGTCAGAAATAGAGGTACAGCTAGGTGGTAATAATGTTCCAAAAGAATATGTCTTCCTAAAAAGTGTTGGGCGATGTCTAACACGGGTAAGTGAAAAGTACTATATTTATGTTTTGTGTATTTGGGGGCTATGAAATCTGTGGACTTACATGGATGGCACATCAGAAATGCAGGGCACACTTTGGTTAATTTATTTATAGCAAAGCAAGTATAGGGCATACATATAGGCAAGTAAAAAAAATCATATTATCTCAAATACAAGTTTTTTTCTTTTCAATTTTATCCTTATTGTAACTGAAAAATGTATAAACTATTATAAGAATTGAGAAAGAAACATTGTGTTCATATTCCTCCATTTTGATGTCAGATTTTCTGACCAACAAAACACAACGGGTATAGCAATTGCAAGAATGTAAATTCTATTTAAATACGAACAGCTCCGTGTTTCAAAACAAGCTTTTATAAATGAGCACAGAGCTATCTAAATCTCTGTCTTTTGTTCATTTGCATTATATGATGGATTAAAAAGTCACCTTTGCTTACATGAACAAACAAAGTATTTGCTTTATGATAAGGTTGGATTAGGTTGGTGTGTAAGCCTCTAGTTACTGTAGGTCCAGCATGATTGAAAACCAAATAGCAACCATTTGATATATACTCCATTACTCTTGCAAAACAACCCATTAGAATTTAGAATTTAGGGAAAATTATTACTACTGTTTTGAAATAAATAAAGATACACATGCATTAAATCCACAGCAGAAAGCTGATGCACTAAAATCCACCTTCCCCGCATACTTTCCTTTGATTCTTGGAACGGGTCCAAGTTTGATACCAAGAAATGTGACTATTAGAAATGATTATATAAAATATTATATTACAAATTTAACTGCTCATAAGGTATATGTTCAATGTGCTTTTTTAGTAACTTTTCTATTTGATGTTTAATTTTTCCAGGTAAGACCTAAACAGGAGGTTGAGTTAAAGGCAAAAAACTTTGTTCCCCCTCAGGTGAGTTAAATTCTTCATGCTGAATGATTGAGGGCAAGTCAACTGTGCCAATAAGTAAATCTGACACAAAATGGGAACTTGTATTTTTTCCGCTTTGAAATTTAATCTCATGTCATGCCCCTTGTAACACAGTGTGGCATTCATTATGGAGTTTTGCCGGACTACAATGGTTCCCTTTAATGCTTGTGTAAACAAATAAAAAAAAATGCAGTGAATAGTATCAATGTGTTCTCCTATACCGTTTTTCAAATATGAAACCCATAATGTTGTATGTCAACACAATACCTTGGTGAGTTTTTCGCCTCCAGTGCAAGAGCTGTTGGTATGGAGAAAAACAATAGAAACAGATGTTTGAAAAAGATTTCTTTAAAACAGTCGATTGATTTACGGCTGCAGCTTGTTGACATACCAGCACAATTTGAGTATTAATAGGAATAATTATGTTGAGTGAGTTGTCAAGGGTGAATTGAGTGGCTCTCATCACTGCATATGTGGGTGTTCATATTTTTCTTTACTTTTTTGTTTAATTGCTAAGGAAACCATGACATGATTTTGTTACCATAATCCTTTTATAAAGGAGAGCAAGGGTCAAGCTTAGTAGTGTGGCAGTGTTTGTGACGTCCTCGCCATGTACAAACATATGCACAATAGCAGTTTGTCATGTGAATGAGAGAATTGATTTTTAAATCTTTCTTTAAGTGTTAAATTCACAGACAGAGCTAGGTTGTTATATACAAGCTCCAGATTAAGGCCACGGTGCTTTGTGAAGAACTGATGTAATTTGATCGGCCTTTGCTCTAAAAGTAGCTTGTTTGATGTAAAAATTTATGGAACACTATTGATGTCTCAAAAAAAAAAAAAAAAAAAAAAATGTAGATCATATGCTTGTATCAGAAGTAGGAAGAATGAATAAAAGTTTCTATAGCCTTTTTTGATCAAGAGTGATGGATTTCATTGTGCAATGGATTGCATTTAACAGAATTGTCTAGTAGTGCATTTTACATCGTGCCTAATGGATTGAGTGACAGTGACATATTATGTTGTATTGTATTAACAAAGAACTAACATTTCCAGCTTGTTACTGTTTAGAGCAAAAAATTAAATATTACTTGTATCCTATTCCTAAGGGATTGTTGAGGCTCTGTGGAATAAAAACTGATCCAAAATTAGATATTGCCTGGATTTGGGTCATGAGAATTGCCGTTTATTTGAGAGATTATTCTGTCTGATGTAAAAGTGGATCAATGTCACTTCTTAAATGATAGAATTTCACTATCAATTTTTTATTCTGTTAACCCAATCTAGGATTCTTAGATTGAATCCTAGACCCAATACAGATTATAGTCCTGTGCAAAAATGTTTAATTTTTCAATATACATATCCTTATTTCATTACTAATATTATTTATTACTAATATGTTTCATTACTAATATCCTTATTTTGAGGTTTTCTCATAAAATTTATAGATCAGGTCAGTGAAACATTCTTTTAAAGTTACATTTCATGACATTTAGTTTACATTTATACAACTTTTTTTTTTAAATTTTAGGCATATCTTCCAGAAATATTTGTCTTAGAAGCAACTCCAGAACTAAGAGAATTATTTAAAAATGACTCCCCAAGAACTGTCACAAATCACAGATCACCTGGTTCTAGCCAACAGTCACCATATTTTCAAAGAACTCAAAATGGATATAATGCCAGAGAAATGTCATATAATGATACTGCAAAATATGATGGAAACACATATGGACATGGTCGAAGGGGACATTCTTTTGAAACAGCAGAGAATGGATTATACCCAGGACATTCACAGAGACAAGGTGCCATTTCCTCACATGCAACACAGACAGGTAATTGTTTTGATTGTACATAATAAATATTATTTCTTTTTTGCATTCACTTTTAAGGAAAAAAAAAGTGTTATTGTGCCGTTCATGATTTGTTTTCAGAAAGAATCCACCTTTTCATTTGGAAGAAACATTCAGTGCAAGATGATCACAGCTGTAACCAGAAAAGCATCAGTATTGCAAACATTTACGTGTTGCCATGCAATAAGAGAGCTTTTTTTTTCTCCCGTTAAGTGGCATGTATAATGGAAAACTGTACTACCAGAAGCAAACCGATAAGTTGAAAATGTTAGTAGATATGATGGATCCTGAGTTTCCCTTTTCCTGACATACCATTATCTCTTTGATGGAGTGTGGTAGTTAAGTCAGCGAAGGGAAATAATCGCTCAAAGCAAAAAGTTTTGTGACCTTTTAGCAGTTTCAGTTTGTACTGAAGAGTTTCTTCCCTAATTTATTCCACGTTTAACAATATAAAGCTTATAGAGGAAATTATTTAATTTTTATGAAGGGAAGTTGATTTATTTGAATTTATATTCTGTTTTACACGTCAATTTTTGTAATTGTTTATTGTTTTTCAAATGGATTTAGTTCTTATGCTAGTAACTTGTTAGCTTTTTGTTAACCATAGTCCTGTAGTTATACACAAAAAAATGCTCATGTAATGCTTATTACAAAAATCATTAACAGCTTTTTCGTCAGCACTTTTATTTGTGTCCTAACATGCATGATGCAGTGGAAATACACATTTGTAATTGCTATAAACATCAAAATTTCACCATATCTTACAAATGATCTTTTGATGGCCCTATTGATAACCCATTGTTTAGCTATGAAAGAAATAGCTTTTAATCTTCCTGCATGTTAAATGGCTTCTGTTTACCGGGGTCAAATATAGTGTAAAATGCCCAGTGTGATGTTTCGGTTGTCATGGTGACCAGGACTCGGAAACTAGCACCGTTGCTGTTTGCCCACCTTTGACCAAATAGGCTTTAAGCTTAAGGTGCCTCATCTCCAAGGGTTAGATAACATATGTATGTCCCACCCTAATACTTACTTGTGTTTGTGCAGAAAAAAAGATTAGCTATGCTGTGTTGACATTACGCTTGGTGACTGGCATTTGCATATGTTTTTACTAATCAACTGTGTGGGTAAGGGGTATGCGCATGAATAAGATCTGTAGTTCGGAGGCAGTGTAGTGAAATATGTGTGTGCACTTGTAGATTATAACGTATAGGGAAAAAAACTAACATGACAAACACAATATTAACAACTGAAGTAGCAGAAAAAATAGTAAAAAAAGGCCTGATTATGTGGCATGATTTTCTGACTAACCCTAAAGTTGTGACTTAATTAACTTGCATGCAGATACATGTAATATACTAGAGCACAGTGTGGGTTTGGAAACACTAATAAATTAGTAGCAGCTTCAAAGTTCATCATCCAAAACATGAAATTTATTCCACTTTGGGCTGCTCTTTGTTAGGTGCAAGGAGATTTACAGAGAACAAAGAAGACAAAATGACATTATCAGGCACTCCAACTCCACCACAGTCTGGGGACTCCAGTGGCTCCTCCACAGTCAGGAGTACTGGCAGTGGAGAATTTGGTCGAGTCTCACGAGGAACCTCTCCAGTTGACTTTCTCAGTGGTAGAGCAGAGAAGCAGCTTACTGGGCACAGCAAAGGTTCTGTCACTGGGAGTGGCCAGAGAATAAATGGACAGTTTTCTCCTAATGATAGACATGGTTTTGCAGAACGTACAATCGATAAATCAAAAGTAGACCTGCCCAGACAGTCTACCTTCACTGAGAAATTACCGCCAATTGGTAGTGGTAAAGTAAACAATGGGGAATTTCAGGACAGCAACACTGAAGCTAATGGCAAGAGCCCCAGAAACAGAAAGGAGTTCTCTGAAGGCCAAAATAATAAACATGATGATGTAAAGAAAAATGAAAAAGGACAAAATTTGAACAATACATCACATCCTAGCAGTCAGTCTAAGCAAAATACTCATATTAAAGAGCAAATAGAGGGACTTCACTCTCAGAAAAGTGGTACTAATATTTCTCAAAATCAGAATGAGAATGGACAAAAAAGGGTAGCTAGTGTTGAACAAAATTCTGGTGAATTTACTGCAGGCAAACAAAGTCAAGGGGCCAATGGGGAAGTCCTCAGTGGGACTGGCGGGGGAGATGGTCAAAATAGGGATAGCCAAATAATAAATAATCAGCAGCAAAATTCTGGTCACATGCTGCAGGGACATAAGGGTGGTTCTGTTCAAAATGAAACTGGCACCGAAGATAGCAAACAATTTCAAAGTCCTGGTCATACGATACCTTCACATCAAGCAGCTAAAGATGGCAAAAATAGTATATCAGACCCTTCATTTAATGAAAATCATCAAACTTCTGCAGAACACGATGCCCACATAACAGGCAAAGATGGCAGAGGTAAAGGACATAGCCAGTCTCCAGATACAAGGTCAGCCAATACACACACCACAAATGGAGATTCTGGGATTGCTGATGGAACCCCTGACAGAGAATTCCGCAGAGATCGCACAAGAGATACTCTAGACCGGTAAGTTGTGAGAAAAATGATGAAATCATTGTGTTGTGCAAGTTTGACAAAAATTTTGACAAGAAAACTTTTGTAAGTTGCATGTTACAATGATTTTATTTTGTCATGGATTAGTTCCTTACAGTGGTTGTTTCAGTGAGACATACTGAACTACTATAAGAACAAGTAAAATCATAATAATAAAAATTATTGCTATTCACAGGAGGAAAAATGATAGTGGCCATGGAGGTGGTTCACACTTGGATGGAACTTCAGAAGGGACACGGGAGGATCGTCAGAAGCAGGAAGACCCCTCACATGGATGGGTAGAGGAAGAGAGGCGGCGGCTGGAGAGTAAAGAGAGGCATCGATTAGAGCGTAAAGGTGGTGACAGCCAGGAGCAGGGATCAGAGGAGGAAGCATGGTCACAGGATGTGAGTCAATTTTATTGTTATTCTTTCTTTTTTTCTTCTTACATTGTGATGTAGTTGCTTAATTTATTTTGATTTCAGAAAGATCATTTTACATATAGGAGTGATAATTTTATTGGGTAACGATATGCACGCCACTTCTGATTCAAGGAAACAACTGAAACACATTTCAGTAGATGGAAGTATCCATTTTATATATTGTTTTTCATATGTTAGCATGACTTTTCCTTGTTAGCATTTCCTATAATTCATACTTGAAACATGTCAAATCTTACTCTGTTTCCCTTTCATAATAAGCTTACTTCATAGTCCACTGAGAATCCATTACTTTTGTTGTCCAGATATTGATTGCTGTTCTTTATATAGGCCATATTCAGATTTTGTCAGGCCTCATTGGGTCCCAACAAAACTATGTAATCAATGTTTTGATTAAGCATTGTTGGGGCTGTTAGAAACAGTCCTAGCTCCAGTGGTAATCAATGGAAGAAGAATGGCATTTCATAGCTGAGAATGCTTCTTGTGCTGCTCTTGTATGTCAACAGTGACCATCATTATTAATGTAGCATTATGTGGGCATTGGCTATATCCATGGAGCTGTGTTATTTAGTGTTGACACAGTGTGATAAGCTGCCTTTCATGCTCTGTGCATTTGTATGTAACAAACTCAACTAACATACACCTTTATTGACCAAAAAACGGTCTACATGTTTAGAATAGCATAATTTTACATTGAGACATACAAAGTTTTACATGTACACCATCTCAGCTCATCACTTTGTAAAAAGATACAAAAAGTTTCCATATAATTTTACATTTACTTTATATGTTAATTAGTGTTTTTAATATTGACTTTTTAAAGTAAAAAATTGAAAAATTCAAAAAGCTTTGCAGTCTTTCCTTTTCTAGTAAAATAAGTTACATTTATTTAATATTTATTTATTATTTATTCATTTTAGAATGCAGAAGGGCTTGACAGTGGCAGTCCCAATTCATTATCAAGATTTCCTTCACCACCTCCTCTCACACTAGAGTCAATCAACTCTGCTGATTCTAACTTAAGGGAGTCAAGTTCAGCCAGGGAGAGAAGGCAGCAAGAGAGTATGTCCATGTTTTTAATATTTCAGAAATAGTAAAGCCATTTTAACCTGAATTATTTTACACTTGCTCATGGAAATTGATAACTTAATTTATTCCATCAAAACCAGGAGCACATGTAACTCCTCAATTCACCTGCCTACTACAAGAAGGAATTGACTCTATCCAAACTACTGGAAGTAAATTCTAGTTAGACTAACCCTTAAAACTTTTTAAAGTTCTTGAGTGTGACCTTAGTCAGTATTTTAATACAATTTTTACCAAACCTCTCAACATCACTCAGACATGGTGCTAACCTCCCATTGTACTTTGAAATGTCATAAGTGATGTAAGCTCAAAGCAAATTAACTAGTGCTGATGTCAAATTAAGCTTCAACAATGCAGCCATGGTAAATATTTTCATCGTAAAGGCTTTTTGAAATGGCAAATGATTTGATATGTCAAAATACATTAAATTGCCCATTTAATATGAAGGCTTTGTTATTTACATTCACAGAAGAAAAGCTACTTGCTGAACTGGAGGTAGCGAGAGAGGAAAGAAAGGAAGTGGAAAGAAAAAGAGAGGAATTGGTAAAAAAGGCTAAACAGCTTCAACATAAAACAAACAACAGGAGAAACCAAGGTACATGAATATTGAGTGAAAGTTAAAATTGAAGGGCAAATAATTTTTTTCAACAAATAAATGTGCCACAGTATTTGCTAATCTCAAATCACTGTCTTTCAATACAGCATGAATTTGAATTCAAGCATAAGAAGAACATAAAGTCCAATTTATTTTTATGCAAAGGGACCAGAAGGTAAACATTATGAATGTGTGAATATTTGCTGATTTCATCAATTCGAAAATTTTGACTTTCAGCACGAGACATTTGGAAGAAGAAGTATTTTGAAGAAAAGAAGAAAACGCCACCATTGGAAGATCAATGTAACAAACTGCGTCATGAAATTGAAGTTCTTCATAGGCGTCTGATGTCACAGTTAGAGGGAACCAAAGATGCAAGGCATGATGGGAAAGCTCCAGGTCTCCCTTCCCAGAAGGTACGTAGTTACAAAAGTTTTATCTAAACATCGGACACTTTTTCAAACTTTGACACACCACAACCAGTATTGTTGGAAAAACATGGGTTCTCTGTTTTCATACTAGCATAATTTTTTATGCATTTTTTTCCTTTTTTTATTTAAATTGGTGTTGCTTAATACTTCATTAGAAGTCCACTTTCTAATAGAATTAATTCATGATATGCTTCTTATTAAACTAAGTGATTTTTTCTCCCATTTTAGAATAATTATAAGATCCAAGCTACCAGACTTCACCATGAGACTGAGGAGCTGAGACGAAAAGTGGAAAATGCTAAAATGAAACTTACTGCTGAGATGAAAGTATGCCCATCTATATGTACACATGATACTAAATTTTATTTTGGTCATGAAAATTTCATTTTATATTGAACATTGAAATACTTAAATTTGTAGAACTTTTGGTGGAAAGTGTATACTTATAAGTAAAAAGTAATTGAATTAATAAACAATAAAGCTGATAAAAAAAGTAAATCATTTCTAAAGTGTGTAAGGTTTTTATACCTTTAAGGTATGATGGCTTACCTTGATCACATCACTTACTTGTCAATTTGATCTCCAGAAGCCCTCTGATGAAGTCTATTTAGAAATAATTTACTTTTTTATCATCATCACACAAGCGACAATGAAAAACCAATTTCAGCACAGCACTGTTCTAATAGCCATGTTTTTACACCAGGGAACATTTACCACTACTATGTATTTAATTATGCAATAGAACAATCGATTATATATACCTTTATTGTATACTTATTGTAGGATCTTCATATTAGCCTATTATATTGATGACCTCAATATAATTATTATAATTATTATTATAATTGTGATTGCAGCTGAGAAACCAAGCAGAGACTGAACTGCGAGCACTGAGAGCAGAGCTCACACAGAAGAAGATCAATGTGACTTTGACAAGATCCCAGCAGATGGCAGCACTTGGTAGCTCCCATGATGTTTTCTCTCCAAGAACACCTGTGGCTACTCCAAGATGATAACAGGCAGACACACAAATCAATAAAAGACCACAACATTCATTTAATACATTAAGAAAGAAAATAAAAAGGTTTTTTAAAAGTTTTTTCCCAGAAATGTTATTCATATTTTGTTTCTTGTGTAACTTGATATCACAAAAGGAAGTGCTTTTGGTTATAAGCATCTGTTACTGAATGTGTTGTGTACATAACTTGCTGAGATGACTATACTATAAAGTGAAGGTATTATTCCAGTTAGATATTCATCATGTACTGGGCTAAATTGAATTTGCAAAGCATTCAAATTAACTTCTCTTTCTTTCTTTATTTTTGTTTATTTCTTTTGATTAACAACACTAACTACAGGCTTAATTTAAAGGACGGATCACTTTCGCATCTTAGTCATTAATTTTGTGCAAAAATTCAGGTGTGCCACAAATGGGATTAATATGGCATTGACAAATGGAATAGGTAAGCCACTGATGGAGACATTGTGGTGAGGATACATTGCCATAAATAATGAAAATTGTCTGTCCAGGTTAATGCTGTTGATGTTCCATTCTATCAATGTAGAAAAATTCTTAAACCCAAATGTGCAAATGAAGAAAAAATGAAAGCTAAAGATTTTAAGGTAGCTTGAATTTATAATATTGATTGAAAATTGAACAATTTATTGTCTATCAGTAAATTCTGTATGTATTATGCTAATGTTTTGTATAAAGTTTGCATTTTAAGACGTATGGGGAATGTCTGAAATATGCAAACATGTTGACATTCTATTTTTTATTGTTATAAGGCTTACTTGTGATTAATGGTGAAGAAATGTACCTAGATGAAATGTAAATAAACCATTAGTCAGACTTTTATAAAGAATGAAGTGTAATACTGATTATCTTTTTTTTCTTGCTGCTGGCTAGCTTCAACAATGATATCTAGTCATTGGTGATTGATATGTGGCTTTTTAATGCATTTAGAGATGTCATGTTGGTGTTTCAGTAACCATACAGTTATTTATACATTGCTCATTTTGACTCGTTTTAGAACCTAGTAAGTTGGCTTACATTGTTACAACTAAAATTGATCCATGTCAATAAATTTCTTCCTATGATGAAATAAAATATTTTTTATAAGTTCCAATTTTTGTTTTCTTGAATTTATTTCAGATACATACTCATAATTAAGCAATTGATTAATAGGTTGAAGGACCTACTATATCATTTGGTTAAGGTTAACAATGGTAATGATTTTGAGCTCGCTAATCTTCAGAGTGATAACAGGTGATTAAAAATAATCACCTATTTTCAAATAAAAAAAGAAAATAATTCTATGTTTAGTTTTGCCATATTATGCACACCAGGTGTGGTGCATTGTCCTTTCTGGCCCACTGAAACACGTGTGAGGCTACAAACTTTTTAACACCCCTTCAAACTTTGAACTATGTTTTACATAATTCAAATTTTTATCAATAGCAGGTAAAACTGTAATTCAAAGGGCTATTTTTGGTTTAACAAAACTTATTTTCCTGTTTCAATAACCATAAAGTTATTTATATGTTGCTCATTTGACCTATTTCAGGACCTTGTAAATTGGCTTACATTGCTAAACTGAAATTGATCTGTGTCAATTAATTTCTTCCTATGATGAAATAAAATATTTCTGATAACTTTTGTTTGTTTTTTTTTATTTATTTGATTTCAGATAATTGTATATCATTAAGAATTTGATAAATAGGGGGGAAGGACCTATTATATTATTTTGTAAAGGTTAACAATGGTAATGATTTTAAACTTGCTGACCTTCAGAGTGATAATGGGTATGATTAATAATAATCACTTGTTTTCAAATAAAAAATAAAACAGGATTCTATGTTTAGTTTTGCCATATTATGAACCCCAGGTATGGTGCATTGTCCTCTCTGGCCTAGGGAAATGTGTGAGAGGCTCAAAACTTTTAGACATCCCCTCAAACTTTGAACTATGTTTTACATATTTGAAAATTTTGTCAATAGCAGGAAATAATACTGTATTTCAAAAGGGCTATTTTTGGTTTAACAAAACAAAATGGGCTTATTTTGCTGTTTCAATAATCATGCAGTCATTAATATGTTGCTCATTTGACCTATTTTAGAACCTAGTAAGTTGGCTTATATAATTGTTACATCTAAAATTGATCCATGTCAAGATATTTCTTCCTATGATGAAATAAAATATTTTTTATAAGTTCTTACTTTTTTTTGCATTTATTTGAATTCAGATACATACTTATTATTGAGTGTTTGATTAATAGGGGGAAGGACCTATCATTTTGTAAACTTAAAGGTTAACAATGGTAATGATTTTGAACTCACTGATCTTCTAAATGATAATGGGTATCATTAAAATAATCCACCTATTTTCAAATTAAAAATAGAAAATAGTTTAGTTTTGCCATATTATCTACAGCAGGTAGGGTGCATTGTACTTTCTGACCCTTTTTGACATGTGAACCATGTTTTCCATATTTTAACTTTTTTTTTCAATAAAGAAAAATGTACTGTAATTCATGAGCTGTTTTTAGTTTAACAAAAAGGAATTATTTAGCCATTTCAGTAACCTTGTAGTATTTTAAATATTGCTTATTTTGATGTATTTTATAATCTTGTCACTTGGCTTACAATATGTTACAATTAAAATAAACCTATAAAACATATTAATATGTCTCCCTTTAAGAAAAAAATTAAAAAGTTATTTCCAACATTTTTAAATATTAATTTGATATCAGATTTTAATTATTAAGTATTTGCTTTATAGGGGGTGGCATTATTAATTGAGTATTGTTAAAGTTAACAATGGTAATGATTGAATCAAAATAGAATTATGGTTTTGCCATTTGATATTAATTACATTTGGAAGTGAACTAATCACCATGATTTATGAACTTCCTTTGACTGGATGTTGCATAATTCACATACTTTTAGTTAAAAATAAGAAAAGTTCTATATATATAGTTTTGCCACAGTCGTCCACTGAATGCAATATACAAAAGTGTAATTATCTTGGCTGCGCTTCGATTATTACAATCTTGTTTGTCGCATACAGTGAACAATGAGTAACTGACTTATACAGCCAGCAATTTCAAAGGAGGGTGGCCTCTATTTTTTTTTTTTTAAGTGGACTTTTTACTATGAAACTTTCATGTACCTAGATCAAATTTTTCCTGGCATGGACTTCTTACCTACCTCTCAGAGAACCACGAAATGCTACTTTATTTTTCAACATATGTTGTCCCCTTCAAACACTACACTTGTTCTATAAATATATAGTTTGCCAGTCATTGAAACCCAATTAGTAAAACTCATCAAATTGGTCCCTTAACCAAACCTCCACAGCAGCTGTCAGCTCATCATCATCATCTTCAGATCTCTGGTCCTGAAGGTGTTCTTTCAGTGGGGAAAAAGTGGAAGTGGCTGTGGGCAAGGTCTGGAGAAAAAGGGTAGCTGAGGGAGGAGTTCATGGCCACACCCAGGCGTTGCTTTCAATATGCAACTAGGCTGTTGTGGACTGTCGCCATGCCCTGTTGAAGCCAATTCCCATGACAGACTTCATTGGGGTATGCCTCTTCCACAAGACATGTTAGGCTCAAAACTTTTTGACACCCCCTTGTACTTTGAACCATGTTTTACAGATTTCAGTTTTTTCAATACCAGGAAAAAATACTGTAATTCACATGGGCTATGTTTGGTTTAACAAAAAATTTTGCTGTTTCAATAACCATATAGCTGTTGAGATATATGCTTGTTTTAATTTATCTAGAACCTAAATAGGCTATAATTTGTTGCAACTGAGATCATCTATGCATGTACCATTATTAATAAAATAATTTCTTAATTCCTATGACAAATAGAATATTTTTAAAGCTAATTCCAACATTAAAAATTAATTATTATATTTAGTTTAGTATTTGATTTGTTAGGGGAGGCATTATATATTAATTGGGTTTTCTTAAGGCCAACAATGGTAATGTTTAAACCAGAAATAGAATTTTAGTTTTGCCACATGTTATTTATTACACTTGGGAGTGAATTAATCACGTGCACCTTAATGAAGTGTCATCGACTGCAAATTGCATAATTCACATATTTCTGAGTCAAAAAAAGAAAAAAATCTATATATAGCTTGGCTGTGTGTTTCCATAATGTTTGCAGAAATTAATCACCTCAATTAGTGTGTCATATGGCCCACTACTTATTAGAGCACCACAAAATGTTTGATGATAATATTGTGAACTATGTTTTACATATGTTAACTTTTGTTGGACAGTAGGGAAAATAAAACTGTAATTCACATGTCCAATTTTTGATTTAACAAAATAATAATTCTGAAATCTATTACCCTTCAGATTAGTAAGCAGATATCATCAAGAACACCTAGAGTCATTATATTAGAAAATAATTATCTGACATCAAATTAATCAAAAAATAAATGTTGGAATAACTTTTTCAAAATATTTTATCTTTTCATAAGAAGAAATTAATTTCTTATGTTGTATGAGTTGGTTTTTATTGTAACATTGTAAAAGCATTTTTTAACCTACTATTAATTATAAATAATAGATAACACTTTTAAGTGTTATCTATTATTTATAATTTTAAGTCTAAAAAATAAAAGGAATTGAAGCCTAAAATATGTGGACATGAGTCACTGAATCAGATATGACATTCAGATCTCAAGTATCTGTATCTGCTAAAAAAAAAAAAAAAAACCACAAACAAATACAATGCATATAAAAGCTCATTTGAATCACAATATATTCCAGCATAAGGAAAGTGGGTCAGTTGCTAGAAGAGTTGAATGTGTGTGCAGTGCAGCAGCTATTAATACAACAACCAGTTCCTGCGTACTTGAATATTATATGGATCTGTAAGTTATTTACACAAGCACATTAATATTTTTTCCGAAATATGCAAAATCGATTGTCAGTTTTTAGGCTTACATGTGACTCTACTAATGGCTTCAGATTTATTATTTATACCAAGAAAAAATATACCAGCTCTTTTAGATACAGATGATAAATTTATGCCCAGACTCAAGAATATTGAACATTGGCATGGTCTTTTATAAAGTGGAAAGGTAGAGGCACATTTCAGAAAAGAACTCCAAGACCTTAACTTTTAGTCTATTTTGACCAGAGATGAATCAATAGTAGCCTGCTGATAAGAGGACAATGGGCCTCTTTAACAAAAAGTTAGTAATCTCAGAGAAATGGTTTTTATTTTGAACTTATATACCTTTCTTAGAAAGCCTAGCTACTACATTTTTAGCCTGAAAGTAAGTAGGCCCAATTTTAAGGCCAACTTTTATAAGCTCTTCTGTGAAACTTGAGCCTGGGTTCAAATTTCTTGACACCAAACAAAGACAGCATAGTATTGATCAGTATTCTTTATTGGAAAATCTAAGTTTATTTTGGGATTTGTTTACATTGATAGAGTGGAGACCTTCAGTTAGTGACAAGACACATATATTTGCAATGTATGCCGGCTCAACACTTATCTATAATCTCAATTGCACAAATTGTCAGAAGTCTTGGCCTAGATGGCCTAATAGGGTTGACATATTACAGTCAGAAGATAACCTGGAATGTGATATGTCTTCACCTTTGCTGTATAACTGACCAAGTTAACACTACTGGAGCTCAAATGTACAGACATGCTCTGTAAATAATTACAGGTAGGGTTTCAGTAAAATTTCTTTTTCTGCTTAAATACATATCACTACAAGGATATAAGTTAAAAAAAAAACACTGGTTATTAGAAATTATCCCAATGGCAAAAATAATTTTTTCTTTCTCCCTGCACAGAACATCAAGATGGGATCATTTACAATTTTGCGTGATCTGGACTACACAGTATCTCCAACAGAAACCAGTTCGAAAGAAAAAACCTGGAATCCAAAGTCAACTCTAGACTTGTATCTTCCAAATGAGAAACCACCAAGCAGAAGGAAGGATGTGGGCAAAAACAAGCACATTTCTGAATTCCCAATTGTTTTATTTGTTCATGGCGGTGGTTGGAGGCGGGGTGATAAATCTGCATGGAAACACTACATCTCATTTCATGACACAAACATTTTTGCTGCATTAATTTTGTGGTATTTCAACTTGTATGGCAATGTTGGCGAGTCATTAGTGAGACACAACATCGCATGTGCAATTGTCAATTATCCTCTTGGCAAACTTTCATTTCCTCACATTTTACTCGAAATGTTTGCTTCATTCCTGTCTTCAAGCCTGTGCTTCAGTCTGCCTACACTTTATCTTTGGGTAACTCTAAAAGTTCTTGAGGATCTTCTCATATATAGGGCAGGGTCAAGTCAATATCTGTCTCAGCTGTTTGAATATGACTACATCCACATAACAACTGTGCTATTTTTGTGTGTGACAATGTCACAGTTATTGAAAATTGCAGTCATATTTTGGAACAAAAAAAGATATAAGATGACTGATGCAAGTATCATGCTTCATATTTTACTGGTCCTTGGATCAGGAATAACTATCATCTTCCTAATACCATCAAGTACTGTGCCAAAAGAACAGATGTTTAAAATGTGGTGTGCAGGCATAATAGTTTACACAGAGGGAATTATCTTTTACAAGTATATGACTGAGCTGGACTCTACAAACAATTCCAATCAAGCAGAAGCTGTTGCCAAAAGTATTGCCTGGATAAAAAAATATGGTCACATGACATCATCATTTAATCCTGATTGGTTATTTCTGATGGGTCATTCTGCTGGGGGTCATTTGGTTTCGCTGGTAACATTAAATGGCAGGTATCTGGCTGCAGAAGAATGTTCTAGATCTGATATCAAGGTACATACATGCGTTTCATCTAAATAAATTTGGACTCTCAAATTGTAGCTTATAAAAATGCATAATGGCCAAAGTATGGGGATGATTTTATAACTTTAATTACTGTGCACTATTCCAATCTATCCCATATATTCATTTTATATTCATCATGAAGTTTGACAAGGGATTTCCAAACATGAACTTTTGTATTACATTCTTATTATTCTGGAAAATATTTGTATAAAAAGTACATTTTTCCTCATTTCCTTTCAGGGAGTGATTTCCATCTCAGGTGTATACAATGTCAAAATGCTTGCTATTGATAAACTTGTTGGGTTCGTTAAACATTTCTACATACATCCAATATTTGGATCCAGTCAAGATAATCAAGAGGAAGCATCGCCGTCCTTTCACCTAGATTTTGTCCAATCAGACGTACTGCCACCATTTTTGATATTAAATGCAGAAAAAGACTACATGCTATTAAATGATGCCAAGGACTTTGTTGCAAAGCGAAAAATGCAAGGACACGAGTGGGAACATGTGGTTGTGCCAGGCACCAACCATTTGAATATTATGACTTGTTTTGGACAGACAAAAAGTGCCTGCAATCCTGCATCACTATGTGCAAGATTTATTGGAGACATTCTTAAGGCTGTTCCTAAAAGCAAATATTAAAGCAATCCATTCCACAGTAAAAATTCAAATCATGGTTTTTATTTTTATTATTATTGTTACCTTTTTTGTCTGTCAATTGGATGGCTCCAATCTGGCATGACATTCTTGATAAATAAAGTTTGAAAAAATAAAACAACATGAAACTATGGAATTATTTCCAACAAACTAATTTATTCAAGATACATGTTTTACACATTAAAAGCTAACCATACCCTGGCAACTGAAATACTTAATATATAATATTCAATTTGCCACTTGACTTTGATATCTAATTGATGATACTATAGCTGCCATAATATGCAAAGTACTTTGTGGCATGCAAGACGTTCAATCTCTGGAGTATAATCAAAATATGCCAGCACATCTTTGCTACAAATGTTTCACATGTGCATGTGCACATATACTTAAAACCTCTTATTAAACCACCTTTTACACTCACTGTGATAGCAGTTTTAAAAAATTTTAAAGCCCATACTAGTATGTATTATGACCTTAAAACAAAAGAATTAAGGACATTTTTTAAAATGAAACTGTCAGGAAATACATGATTTTTTTACAGTGTGTGTGTATGTGTGTGTGTGTATGTGTGTATGTGTATGTATGTGTGTGTGTGTGTATGTATGTGTGTATGTGTGTGTATGTATG